GATGTACAAAAACATAGCAGAAACCGTGTGCTAACTGAAATTTTGATGACACGTGTACTAATGCAATTGCTTTGGAAATGTTGGAGAGCCTAGTTTTGTGCTACTAAATTAAGTTATTGGCTGCTTGCATTTACTGTTTTTAAAATTAAAAATACGAGCTTGACCTGATTCTTGATGCTGTGACAACGCAATGCTTGAAATTTATTTTTGATGATGACATTTATTTTTGGTTTTGGCATTGCAATGCTTGAAACACTGACTATATATACTTCATCCTGGAAGCAATGCCTTATTGCATTTTGATCCTGTAATTACTATTACCAGAGGATCCACCAGGCTGGTTATTCTGTGATATTTATAGTCATCAGAAATGAAAGAATTGTTAAGAATTTTTTATGTGAAGTTGTTTCATGAGCATTCTTGAATACCTTGGCAAGAGGTAATTTTCCAAATTACTATATCTTGAACCGAAAGAAATATGAAATTAAGATTTCTATATGAAGTCATTTCTTAAGCATTTTTCAGTAGCTTAGTGTCTGGTAATCAATATTATTCTATCTTGATCATCAAACTGTTGCGAGTGAGGGTTTGTTCGGCAGGCTGCTCCTCCTTTTATGTTTTTAATTTTGATAATTCTTGGTTTTCATTTCCTTTTTTAACTAACTTACTTGCATCTGTTCTTTCTTATTTCTTTTGGTCTGCTCTGTGATGCACTAAACACAAGTTCAGATGATCTACCATTGTGGGGTATGTCTAGAACTGCCTCTTCCTCTTTCGCTGTATTTGATATGATTTTGTTTTTCATTTGTTGTTCATTATCAAAGATACTTCTTCATTTTAAGGATATGTTGGTGAGCTACATCCTGATAAGAACAGTGATAATGGCAAGCATGTCCTTTACACACACAAGAACATTATTGTGAAGTACAATAATGATCAGGTCAGAAGTTATTTAAGTATCTTATGCTATCTTATGACAGGTTTTGGGATCCTTGAAGTTTCATATTAAGGTCTGTTTTCTTGCAGATCATTCATGTAAATCTCACTCAGGATATACCAAAACCTTTAGAAGCAGGAAGAAATTTGGACATGACATATTCTGTCAAATGGGTTTCTACAAATGTCACTTTTGGTCGGCGCTTTGATGTCTACCTGGACTATCCTTTCTTTGAGCATCAGGTTCAGCTTTGTTTTTAAAATTGAAATGGTGTTAATGTTTGGTTGGGTGGTCTGTGTTCATCCATGTTGATCCTACCTTGACTCCAATGCTGATAATTTTGTTCCTCCTTTTTGTTTCTAGATTCATTGGTTCTCCATTTTTAACTCTTTCATGATGGTCATCTTCCTTACTGGATTGGTATCAATGATATTGATGCGAACTCTGAGAAATGACTATGCAAAATATGCACGGGAAGATGATGATTTGGAAACTCTGGTGATGGCTTCATGACTTCTATCTGTTTTATTTATTTATTGAATATGAATTCTTTCTTCCTATAAAAATTGTTGTTCTTATTGTCAAATATTTTGCTTTTGCTTGTATGCTTGCAGGAGAGAGATGTTAGTGAAGAATCTGGCTGGAAACTTGTGCACGGTGATGTTTTTCGGCCTCCCCGCAATTTAGTTATTCTTTCAGCTGTTGTTGGCACAGGTGCCCAGCTAGCATTACTGGTTCTCCTTGTCATCTTGCTGGCTATTGTTGGAATGTTGTATGTCGGGTAAGTGCACAACATTCAAGTGAATGAAACATAAGTCTGAATAATGAATTCAATGATATTGTAGCTGTGTACAAATTTTTCAATGTAATAAGCACATGGAGTTGCTGCTTGCATATCTCCACTATTTATTCTTCATTCTAGTTGAGACTTTATTCTGTCTGTACGTTGATGTTTTTGGCTGATTGTCGTGTAAGATTCCTTTATTGCATGTCTCAGGCGAGGAGCAATTGTCACAACTTTCATTGTGTGTTATGCCCTCACATCTTTCATTTCTGGTTATGTGAGTGGGGGAATGTACTCACGAAATGGGGGTAAGAATCTCATTTAAATTTCTGTATGTTCACTTCAAGTTTATTTGGGTGGCTGTCTCAGCCTTCACTTTTTGTTTTGAATAATTATGTAACTATTTTTATCTGTTTGTTAGGTAAAAACTGGATTAAATCCATGATCCTTACAGCATCTCTGTTCCCGTTCATGTGCTTTGGAATTGGATTTATCTTAAACACAATCGCTATATTCTATGGGTCTCTAGCAGCAATCCCATTTGGCACAATGGTGGTTGTATTTGTCATTTGGGCTTTCATCTCTTTCCCTCTTGCACTTCTTGGCACAGTTGTTGGGAGAAACTGGAGTGGTGCTCCAAATAATCCCTGTCGTGTAAAGACTATTCCACGTCCCATTCCTGAAAAGAAGTGGTACCTCACACCCTCTGTGGTTTCCCTGATGGGGGGACTGCTACCCTTTGGTAGCATATTCATTGAAATGTATTTCGTATTCACTTCCTTCTGGAATTACAAGGTGAATCACTGCACCATGACTTGTTTTAAAGTAATAAAATTTCATTTTTACATATCGGTTTGGTTATAAAAGTTAATCCATGCATTATCAGTTCAGAGCAATGCCAAGGAAAACAATTCTTGATAATGGTCTTTTTAAGTAAATATGTTCATATTTCAGTGGTAGCATAGTGAACATGTGCACTATTGGCTTATATATATATTTTCCTCCTATGTGGCATACAGGTGTACTATGTATATGGATTTATGTTGCTGGTCTTTCTGATTCTTATCATTGTTACTGTTTGTGTGACAATTGTGGGGACATACTTTTTGTTAAATGCTGAGAATTACCACTGGCAATGGACTTCTTTCTTCTCAGCTGCCTCAACATCTGTGTATGTGTATTTGTACTCAATATACTACTACTATGTGAAGACAAAGATGTCAGGCTTTTTCCAAACCAGTTTCTACTTTGGATACACTTTGATGTTTTCTCTTGGACTAGGAATTTTATGTGGTAAGTCTTCTTCAATTTCATTGTAGATTTTCACCCTGCTGATATGTTGGGAATCTCGGGATATCCTATCATGTGCTGAATAAACCCCATTTTTTCCTGTTGTCTTGAATTGGGATATAATTTTTCTTTATATTTACAGGAGCTGTTGGTTTTCTTGGTTCAAATTTGTTTGTGAGGAGGATCTACAGAAACATAAAATGCGATTAAGGTTTTCTGAGTCAGACCTGAGCACTTCCATAGGTTTGTTGCTGGAGACAATAAATTCTTGGAGGAAGCCTCTGGTCGTGTGGAGAACCTAACAATGTTTACAGGTAGAATCACAGGGTTTTGAGAATGAGGATGTATTCTTTTTCTATATTGGGGAAGCCCTGAGATTTTTTTCCCCGGCTGTAATTGATTGTCTTCATAATTTTAGATAATTAGTACAATATCCTACTCTTGTGGTTACTGTTTCATCCCTTTATAAAATAGGGGCCCATTGAAGAACTGATGTCTAATTCCCCAACATGGTTTCAACTATTCAATGTATGTAAAAGAGGGGATGAAGTCTCGGAAATGGATTTTGTGCGTCTGAATTTTGTATGAAGATATGATTATCATTCTTATCTGCTTCCTTCGCACCCATTTATGTTTTAATAAGTTTAATTATTTCTTGCTTTGTCTTTACCGTGTAGTTCTCCTTTTCACTCTGAATATTTTTAATCTCATCCTGGAAGTGACAAAGTAATTGTGGATGGAACCTGAGACCAGAGCACTGTTAATGTTATTATATTCTGCTTCTTAATCTATATTGCAGTGGATTTGGCAAATAATAATAATTGTAACTTGATAAAAAAAATCGGCTGTACGTTGTGACAGTGCACTATTTTTGTCAGTTTTGTTAGTATTTTAATGGACCTATGTGTGATGATCCGCATGCCAAGGTCAGTGATAAACATTCAAGGTATCTTTTGCCTTCCTTTTAGAATATTCCTTGGAATAAGAAACATTTCAATTTTTCATAACAAGCTTCATTCCATTGTTTATTGTACATTTGTCTTTAGCAATAGTTTGAATGAAACTTACAAAACTTTTTTCTCAATTGCTGAAGTGTGAAAGTTTGAGTGATAAGAAAATTTTTAAATGAAAGCACCAGATATACATATGGGTATTATTGTTAGAGATGCGGGGTTTGGCATAATATTGCCGTGTAACAAGAATTAATTGTATTAAACAAGCTATCTATTCCTTGCTAGCAGCCAGAGGATGTAGTAGGCTGGAACAGATGTCTTGCTGGCTGAATTTCACACTTCTTTTTCTTCTCTCTCTTCTTGGCTTTTTAATATATTCTGTTGAGCTTGTACACGTTTGGAAATATCTAGCTACTGATGTGATTTAATGGGTTGCTAGCTGAACTTTTGTGGCACTAATATGTTCGTACTTCGCTACCAGTAAGTATAGTGAGTTTTGAAAATCATTTTAACAGGACCGATCACATGTTTCCAAATGGCTGTAAATTTGTTTGTCAGAGCCAATAAATATGCAATCAATTTTTCAAAGCCCAAAATTTGTTGCCTTGGAAAACCTGTGGGAAGCGGATTATCCCATGGTCATTGCTCATGGATGTCCTCTGGGCAAAAACATACCCAGCGTAAGGCTTTGGTTGGGATGTAGGTGATGATGGCAAACAGAATTGCCCTCTTATACAAGTTCTTAGAGTCGTTAAACAAACTTTCATTTTAATTAAGGATTTGGTTGTAAATTTTAAATATTAAACTAAAAATAACATCCTCAAAAATGCCACAACATTATTGGTCGGTAAAAGAGAATTTTTAAACCCTTCAAAACGGGAAGGTACTAGAGAAATTTCCTTATCTCATCCACAAGGGTGATGATAACGGAGACAAAAATGTAACCAGGGAAATTCTGCCACGTGGCAGATAGCGTTCGATGCCCCTTTATGTCGCTCCATGTTGCATACACACCATTTCCACAAGCTCAATCTTTATCATCAACACAAACTAGCTAGTGACTTGTTTGGCATACACTGTTTGCTCCCGTTTTCCCCACACTTTTGCAACACCAAAGCAATGGCCACCACACCAGCACTTTCTGGAACCATGGTGAACCCCTCCTTCCTTAGTAGGAAGCCAGTGACCACGAGCCTAAAGTCATTTCCCAACGTGGGTCAGGCTCTTTTTGGTGTTAAAGGTGGGCGGGGAGGTCGTGTCACTGCCATGGCTTCTTACAAGGTGAAACTTATCACCCCAGAAGGAACAAAAGAATTTCAATGCCCAGATGATACTTACATTCTTGACCAGGCTGAGGAATTAGGCTTTGACCTTCCCTACTCATGCAGAGCTGGTTCTTGCTCTTCCTGTGCTGGCAAAGTTGTGCAGGGTGAAGTGGACCAGTCAGATGGTAACTTCCTTGATGATGATCAAATAAGTGATGGGTTTGTACTCACTTGCGTTGCTTATCCTCGGTCAGATATTGTTCTTGAGACCCACAAGGAGGAAGAACTCGCTGGTTAAATTTCTTATATGGATGGGATTGCTACTTGCTAGCTTTTATTTATTTACATTCTATCTAGTATCTTGTGTTTTTGTTTTGTTTGTGAATTTGGCTTCTTAGCTGAACTCACTACCCTTTTCTCAGGATGTTGTTGTTTGCGTTTTCTGATGAATGAGTTAGTTACTGATTTAAGTGAAATTGTTGTTGCTTTAGATTTTAGTGATGCTTTTCCTTATCTGTTTATGCATTGCACATTTCTCAGACAATTTCAGGGAACCTTTTAATTCTTCTTCATTCTCTTTCTTCTTTGATGGGGTTCAATAAGAGTTTTAATTTTGGCAGTCATTGCCAGGCCTAGTTTTAATGTTTCGTACCTGTCTGGGTTTTGACAATAATTGAACACGCACAAACTATAGCAAAACTCACTTACGATCATATATTTAGGGTTTGGCTAGCTTCTAGCATATATAAATAGAAAATATTTATAAAAAATTATTAAAGTTATAAAAATATAATAATTATTTTTAATAAAAAAATTTATTAATTTTTTATCTTTAGCCTAAGCAGGCTCTGCATTTATTTACAAATCATGTCTCCCGTGAATGAGCCAAATATATTGAGATGCCACTTCATACGACAGAAAATATAAGACCAGTTTATTTTAAAATTAGGCAAAATTAATATAAGACCAGTTTATTAAACACATAAAAAATGATTACAGTGCGCAACTAAACAGGCACCTTCAGAAGTAGCATTTGTAAACCCTATCTTCAAGCACATCGATATTTTCACCAGGCTTATTAGGGGTCATTGGGATTATTGTGTGTTTAATAAGTATGCATGTAAAGGGGTTTCAAACTTATACTTACTAATAAGTAAATGCTGACCAGTGTCTTAAGCATATTGATTGAAAATTTTTATAAAAAATGTATTTTTAATATGTTTTTTTTAAAATATTATCAATTTTTATTTTTTAAACTAGTATCTTTAAAAATCAGTTAACAAGACCTTTATTAATATTTTACATTGATGGTACATGTCAATTACTTTTTAATTGTATATAACAATAAGTTCAGTGCATATAACATAAATATGCATAAACATTATTGACTTTTATCGAATTTAAAAATAAATTAGAATTAAAAAATTATATTAAAATAATAAATTTTAATTTAGATAATAATATTATGAAGAATAAATTAATATAATAATTTACAAGTATGAAATTATATGAATATATATAAATTCATTTCCATTAGATTGGATATTTTTCAAAATTAAAGTGACAGTTGATTCCAGTTTACTCATTTCTTTTTAATTTGCTCAATTTTCATTCCTTTGGATATTTAGCTTTTCAACTTAATTTTATAATTAGTGCACGTTGGTTTAGCCTATTTTAAAAATCACTTTTTTAATATCTTTATAAAAAAATTAGAAATAAATAATTATTTACTAATAATAAAATATTTTTTTCTCTTTTAGATTAACACCTTTAATCCTATGAAACTAAAACATGCTATACAATAATGATTTATTTTTAAGCAATTCCTAATAAAGTTATTCTTAATTCATGTAAAGGGTTTGTCAAATGAAAAAGTAAAGCCTGGTCGTATTGCATTGAATTTGTAATTTATATTTTGGTTTGAGAGCATGAAGTCTCTTTGGTTAGTTCCATGCAAACTCTTATAATATTCATATCAATGTCTCCAATCACTGTCTCTCCATCAGCTTCCACCTCACCAATCTCTTTCTTCTTTATATTATTTTTATTTTATTATTTTCTCTCATGCATGGATTTCGTTTTGAATTTGCCAATTCTGGAATTGAAAACACTAAATGAGAGTGATGGGTTCCAAACTTCTCATTGCACGAGGTTTGCCACCTTTTTCGGCCTCTGAAACCTCTATATTCATATATAAATTTCTTTTCTTTTTTTTGCCTTTTCTTTTTTACATTTTTTAATTTTTATTCTTTATCACTGGCTTCTTCTCCGTGTCTCTTTTCAGGTAACCATTTTTTTGTCTCTCCTTTTTTTAAAGATAGTAAAACTTGACAATTTGTTGAAGAAACATGTTGAGCTTGGGTCCATGCACGTTGATGATGACATGAGATGAGATAAATGAAAGGATCTTAAGGTGATCAACACATTATTTTTCTTTCTTGAAACCATTGCTCATAATCCTATGCATGCAACTACAAGTTTGGCTTTTAGTTATTGAAAAGAAAGGGTGTAATTTAGAAAAAATGCGTGTTTTTGGGTTCCCAGGTTGACATGGATCGTGGTGGTGACATTATCCAAATCAGTCCATACAAGGACAATGAAGGCCATAAGGAAAAGGAACCGATTTTCTTACATGGTGACTTGGATATGTTGATAATAGAAGCGAAGTCTCTTCCAAATTTAGATTTATCCGGTGAAGCTGTTAGAAAATGTATGACTATGGGCAACATGTGCCATCCTCCGTTTATGAAAGGACGAAAGTCACACTCTGGAAAAGAGAAGATGATAACTAGTGACCCTTATGTCTCTGTGTGCCTAGCTGGGGCTACCATAGCTAGGACTAGAGTGATTCCTAACTGTGAGAACCCTTTGTGGGAGGAGCAATTTGTTGTGCCTGTTGCTCACCCTGCTCAAAAAGTGGAGTTCCTTGTGAAGGATAATGACATTCTTGGGGCTGAACTCATTGGAGTTGTGGAAATACCTGTTCACAGGATACTCCCAGGAAATGTTATTAATGATTGGTTTCCCATCATTGGTCAGTATGGAAATTGCTTAAAACCTTATCCTGAGTTGCATATTTCTATTCAGTATAAGCCAATTGGAATAAAGCCGTCAGAAAGTGTCAGTTATGAGGATGGAACAGCTTGTTTAGGAGTTCCTAATACATATTTCCCTCTCAGGAAAGGAGGGAGTGTGACTCTATATCAAGATGCACATTTGCCAGATGGTATGCTACCTGAGATTCCACTGGAGGGTGGGAAAGTGTTTCAGCACAGTAAATGTTGGGAGGATATATGCCACGCAATTTTGGAAGCTCATCACTTGATATATATTATAGGGTGGTCGATTTATCACCCAGTAAGGCTTGTTAGAGAGCCAACAAAACCATTACCTTCTGGAGGAGAGCTTTCACTTGGAGAGCTGTTGAAATACAAGTCACAAGAAGGGCTCCGAGTGGTTATGCTGATTTGGGATGACAGAACTTCACATGACAAGTTTCTTTTGAAAACTGTAATTCTCATTACCCTGATGAGAAAATTAAGAATGATAACTATTGAGAAGTTTGTGTTGATTTTCCCATCAAATTCTAGTAATTTTTTTTTCTTTACCCTGAATTATTACTCTGCTTCAAATTGATTATATTGCTTTCATACCATGAAGTTATTTAAAAGGAAAAAAAAGTCCTCTCAAGATGAAAATTGGGTGGATTCTGAAGTGAAAAATAGTTATTTATCTTCTTTATGGGTGGATTTTCCTAGACTGGTTTACGTATCCTTGACCTTCTATACTAAGATGCTAAGCTGTTAAGATTCCTAAAATATTAGTTTTAGTGGATATTTCCTTCCTGGATTATTGAGTATCTATATGGTTAGTTGCATAGTTATTTTATGCTCCTGTATCACTAAGATTTATAACTCATGCTTCATTATGATGCTTGATTTTCTTGATTGCAGGATGGTGTCATGCAGACTCACGATGAAGAAACCAAAAAGTTTTTTAAACATTCCACGGTTCATTGTGTGCTATCTCCACGTTATGCAAGCAATAAGCTCAGCATTTTCAAGCAACAGGCATGGAGTTCCTGCACTTGAATTTAAAACTATGTTGGATAAAGATACTATTTCACATCACCACCAATGTCATTATTTCTTAACTGGAAGACTTCATATATTAATAGTCATAGATATAAGATCTAGCCGTGTACTTTTTCCTTTTCAGTTAGAACACTAATTTAATTGAATCTCTTGGTCCAGGTTGTGGGAACCCTCTTTACACATCATCAGAAATGTGTGCTTGTAGACACTCAAGCTTCTGGGAATAATCGTAAAATAACAGCTTTTATTGGTGGTTTAGATCTATGCGATGGCAGATATGATACACCAGAGCATCGGCTTTTTTGTGATCAAGATACAGTCTTTCATAATGATTTTCATAATCCTACATTTCAAGTAAGTGGATGTTATCAAAATTGAAGAATTCACAAGAATAAAGCATGCGTTCTCTTAATATTATACTAGGAAATTTTATAAAATATTTTGGTCTTCTCACATGACTAAGTCACCTTAGGTGATTTTCTATTTGCTTCTACTTTATTGGTGCTATTCCAACCCTCACTCAAATACATTAAATCCTGATTTTATCTTTTGTTCTATGCTTTCTTATCCATCACAATATGCTTAAATTGTGCTCTTGTTAATACTTTAGTACCCCAACAATCAGTACAATAAAGCATTCAGATTGAGACACATCCTGCAATCACCAAAAACAAATAACAACTCAAAGTTTGTCAACATGTCTTCATTTAATCCACCCAACTTCAATCCAATGAGTTTAAGTGTGGTAATTTTGATCTTTAATACACACGTTATCATCTACTATGGTGTGATATTTTCTGTTTGATTAGGTGAAACAGAGAAGGAAAGCAAATGCACAGATTAGCACCAACTATAGGAGAAAGAAAAAAAATTCAAATGGAATTGCTGAAACTGTATGCTATATGAAACAGATAAACTCTGGTGGACCAAGGCAACCATGGCATGACTTACATTGCAAAATTGATGGTCCAGCAGCATATGATATATTGACCAACTTTGAGCAAAGATGGAGGAAGGCCAAAAAATGGCGTGATTTTCGGCTCAAAAAGGTGACAAATTGGCACGATGATGCTTTGCTTAGGCTAGATCGTATTTCATGGATTCTCAAACCATCTTTTGGTCCTGATGGTGATGAAGCTGTTCATATAACTGATCCAAATGATCCTGAGAGTTGGAATGTGCAGGTATGGAAATATGTTGATATTTGCTCGTGTTTGGTCAGCTTATCTTGAAGAAACAGTCGCTTATTTCCTTTAAATCCAAACATGCACAAAATCCAATAAAAATTATGAACTAGCATTAAATACAGGTATTTAGGTCCATAGATTCTGGATCTGTAAAGGGCTTTCCAAAGGACTTTGACAAAGCTAAGGCTCAGGTGAGAACAAGGTTGTACGTGATGTCCCTTTATACTCTTTGGAGTGTTTTATTATTTCCATTATCTTTTCATTGTGATTTGGTCTTAACTTTCAAGTTATTTTAAGATAAATTAGTCTTTTAACTTCTAATATTAATTTTCTGCAGAATCTTTTATGTGGAAAAAATTTGAAAGTAGATCAAAGCATTCATACTGCTTATGTAAAAGCAATAAGATCGGCTCAGCACTTCATATATATTGAGAATCAATATTTTTTGGGATCCTCATATCATTGGCCTTCATATAAAAATGCAGGTAGATAAACTAAATTTTCCAATATCATCATCTTTAAATGGTGCCATTTGCTAGTTTTTGCGTTGTTAGAATATCAAAATTATGGCCTTCAGAATGTATCTGTATATTCATTGGATCAAATGTCCATTGTCCAACACATCAGACCTGAAAGATATAATTGTCTACGATGAAGGAATTAACAAGACAGATTAGTGTCACTGTCCAAGATAAAGACTTGGCCTTAGAGGGAGCTTTGGATGGTTAATAGACGAAGTTCGAAATTGATAAAAGCATTTATAAGAGAAGTCATTAAAAAAAGTCCGAAATCTAAACTCTCCCATCAAAATCAAATACAAATAAGTCAATTAAGTCTGTACGGTTCATGTGTGAAATGTAAGGAGGATATAAATGAATCTTTATAAACTTTGTAATCTAGCATTGATTTCCCTTTAGCTTCTTAATCTTAAGCATTTACTGGGTAATTATGTGCATAAAAAGGTGCTTTGAAAGGCAATGTACTAGGCAGTAACTAGCACTCTCATGATCCCAAGTTTCTACATCATTTGGATAAGGTTTTTAATCCCTTATGTTAACAGGTGCAAATCACTTGATTCCCATGGAGTTGGCTTTGAAAATTGCTAGTAAGATCTACGCAGATGAACGTTTTTCTGTATATATAGTTATACCGATGTGGCCGGAGGGTGTTCCAACAAGTGCTGCTGTTCAAGAAATCTTGTTCTGGCAGGTCACACTAATTTCTAGTCTGTATTCCCTTGTTCAATTTTCCAGGTTAGCTTTAATGTGAGTCTGTCTGAATTAGGAAGCCTAGGTACAACATGTTTCTTTCATAAATTTATTATCTGTTTTTCTCATATAAAAAGTCTTATTAGGACCTTGTATCTGAAAATTGAATGTCTACAGGGACAGACAATGTCTATGATGTACATGATTATTGCTGATGCCCTTAGAAAAGCAGGGCTATCAGATCAGTATCATCCACAAGATTATCTCAATTTTTACTGCCTTGGAAAGAGAGAACCTCAATGCTCAGAAAGTCCACCTACACAAAATCAATCTTCTGAAAATCGTTCTTTGGTATGCTAAACTATCCTTATGTTTCCTTCACCAAATGTTAGCATTGGATTTGCATGCATGCAGTTTCTAGTATAAAATATAATTTATATAAAATAGAGATAATCAAGATTGCAATCTTAGAGTAAATTAAATTCATAAAATGTTAATTTATGATTTTATTGTTATTTTTCCCCTTTCTTTAATCAGGTATCAGTTAAAAAATTCAGACGTTTCATGATTTATGTTCATGCCAAAGGAATGATTGTTGATGACGAATACGTAATCATTGGATCAGCAAATATCAACCAGAGATCATTAGACGGTTCAAGAGACACTGAAATAGCTATGGGTGCTTATCAACCAAAATATACGTTTAAACAAAAGAATTCTCATCCACGTGGCCAGGTTTGAAGCTCCTTTAACGTTTGTGTTTGGATTCCCATTTATATTTACTGTAACGTTATTAGTTATAATTTTTACGTTGAATTCACGTAAAAATTTCGAATTAATCTAGGATGAAAGTAAATACATATTCCCAATTTCTCCTTAGCTTGTTTTATAAAGCACATATTGCAAACACATGAAATAATCAGACAGGAGAAGGAAAAAAGTTAACTAAAATGTGTAATCTACCACGTTGAGATATATCTCAATTCTCAAAGTCATATTTCATTTCTAAATTTATTTCACGGCCAACTGTTTTAATTTAAAAAAGACCAATCCATCACTCAATAGTTTATATCTTTTGGATGTATGCTATTTTAGCAGAACAAATCATTGTAAATTAATGACACCACCCTCTCATTGTGGATTAGTAGCATAAACTCATATCTATGAACAGGTCCTGGTTATGAAATTTTTATCTTTTCGTAATTGGCAATTCCCACTAAGATGGTGTTGGTGTAGGTTTATGGATACCGAATGTCACTGTGGGCTGAGCACCTTGGTAGTCTTGATGGCATTTTTGGTGAACCTCATAGCCTTGAATGTGTTAGATATGTCAACAAAATTGCCAGACAAAACTGGGAAATATATGTGTCTGAGGAAAATAATCAAATGAGGGGACACTTGATGCAGTATCCAGTTAAGGTCTGCAAGACTGGAAAAGTAACTGCACTGGATGATTATGAGTGCTTTCCTGATGTTGGTGGCAAAATTCTTGGATCAGCCAATTCACTTCCGGATGCACTGACCACATGATTAACCAAAGTAAGTTTTAGAGATAAAATTCGCCAACAGATAGCTGCTACCAATTTCAGCTCAACAAAATAGGTCATTATCAATGGTAAAGCCAATTTAGACTCTTAAAAATCACCTTTAGAAACATAATATGTAACATTATGGAATGATTACCCTTTTTGTATGTAAATTTCTGTATTTGATAGTGAGTGAATAAGCCTCAGAGGATCCTCCTTCCTTTCCTATAGCAATTTAATATTGTATATTTTGACAATTAGAAGAAAAGAAGCTATACCAAAACCATACAAAAAAGTTTCATGTTTGCTAAGCTGATGATTGATAAACGTCTGGGACTCTAATTTTCCTTGCTTTTTCTTGAACAGCCCTTAAAATATCATCATTTTTTTATATTCTTCATCAGAAAAATAATAGTTATTATCCTAAAAATATCAATGTGGATGTGACCATGGAAGTTTGTATTCTGAAGTATAAAAAAGGAACTTGACCAGCGTTGACCATCTTGCTAAACTTGGTGCCATGCATGTGGATTAGTTAAAACCTATTAATATTTCGATCCTTCTACAATCAAATGCAAAATGATAAGTAGATGAGATGAATTTTCCTCAAATAAATTTATTAATGCGCTTGGCAAATCTTACAAGGAGATTGATGTTTAAAAAAGATCTTAAGAAGAAATTGGTTTCAAACATGATTTTAAGATTATGGATTTCACTAATTTTAACAGTGAAATAGGTTGTGAGGTTAGGAATTTTACAGTAAATCGGAATGTTTAATTAAAATATATAAAGGTCCAAACGAAAATTCTTGACCACAATTTATAAAGTAAGATTTTTATATTTTATTATTATCTTGTGGGGCCAAATTTATTCCCTTTTAGTTATATACCATTTTTTTTTTCATAAAAGTTTTAAGGATTCGTGGTCAGCTTATTTTAAAGGATGAGCATATTACAAGTTTTAAGAAAATTTATAGTCATAGATATGCTTTATTCATTTAAAATTTATTGTCCATGATAATCAAATTAATCCAAACAATTGAAGTGCCCTGACCTTGCATCGAATTTCCAAATATTTAAACATTGCTCTCAAACATTTTTTTTATCTCACAACAAAAAATAATATATTTTTTTAGTGAAACATTGGATAATAGAAGCCCAAAACGTTAAAGAAAAATTATAACAAAAGCACAGGGTAATAAAAAAAATTATTAATAGTAAAAAATTTAGATTCAATCATTAGTAGTAAAAAAATTTCAAAAATATCAATAATTATGTTTTAGACTGAAAGAAAGGAGTACAACAATAATATGAAAGAAAGGACTTTAAATCAATAAGATATGAGTAGGGTAGGACTGAACTGTGGAATTCTCTTCTTCTTTGGAATATCTATCATCCCATTAATTCTTTCTTTGACTCTTTTTTCAGCCTCAGGTTCTCCTTTTCTTTTATTCCTAACTCTTCATAATCATTTTAATAATTTTATCAAAAGTCACATTAGATAACTTAATTTTGTTTAGGCAATCTGGGCAAATTTAGCTCTGGACTTCATATCATAAATAGATATAATATTTATTACCCTTTAGACCAAAGGGACCGCATAGCGCAGTGGATTAGCGCGTCTGACTTCGGATCAGAAGGTCGTGGGTTCGACTCCCACTGTGGTCGCATTAATTTAAAAGCTTTCATTTTCGTAAAAATTTGGAGCAATTTAAGTTGGGATTGCTAATGCTTTTTTACTCTTCATTTCACTGACTCGTGTTCTTTGTAATTGTGGATTTGGTTTCGATATTACTACCTAATTTGATATTGATTATTTGCAATTGAATCAATTGGGTGAGTCAAATGAAAGTCAGCAATCAATTATATTGACATGGACCTCTGATGCTAACATGGTTGATTAGCTTAGGTGGCAGTAATTCTAATGGGATGAGTGAAGGAGATGTGACATCAAAAATCTAACTTGCATGTGCATCGTTCACTTCTCAAAGTATACGAACTTTCTAAAAAATAATAATTTTTATAAAATATTAAGAAAATTATTGAAAGAGGATATAAAATTGCTTTTTCTTTCCAAAATATTCTCTCCAAGTGCATGAAATTGAGTTCCTGATAATAAAATCGATGGAATATAAGAAATTACAATATTTTAATAGGATGCAAAAATAAACCTCTAAACTTAATCTTATATACTCTCCTCTTTAGATAAAAATTATTATTTAAAAGCCTAAATCGATTAAAATTTACAAGTTGTCAACGAAGACTTATATATAAATCAATAAAATAAAATCTTTGAATACATAATAATCTTTAAAAAAAACTTAGTATGACATGTAAAACAGATAATTAGGATAAAAGAAAAATATTTATTTCATTTACAAACCGATATAATAATAATAAGCTCTAATCCAATATAATTATCTATTAAAATAATAGTTTAGATGATCCTCTCCACCATAAACTTACAATATAATCGTTACAGGAAAAACAAAATCAAAACTAACCAACGATGCACATCTACAGAACAGAAATATTGATGATAATAAAATTGTTTAAAAATAAAAATTAGTTTTCACAGTTGATACGAGATGGAGTGGCTAATGGGAGGAGATTGTGATCTGTACATTTATAAAGTTGAGTCGCCCTAAAGAAAAAACAGAGAGGAATGTAAGACAGAGGAGTCTCTTGTTTATGGAAGATCAAAGTGGAGAAGGCGAAGGGGAAGAACAAGAACATCGTTTACTCTCATACTAACAACACCATAATCCATATTATCGTTAATAAATCATAATTAACTATGGGTAAGGGCCCTTTCTCCTTTCGCCGCTCTGCTTCCCGTCGCCGAACTAAGAAGACCGCCGGACCTTCGCCGCCGTCTCCGCCTCAGCCTCCGTATGCGGCCGGAATCGCCGCCTCGCCGGACGAGAATGCCAACAATCGCTTGATTGCCAGCAGCGGTGGCGGTGGCGGTGGCGCGTTGACGAAGGCGAAGAAGAAGACCGGCGGTGCACGGTTGTGGATGAGGTTTGACCGGTTGGGTCGGTCGGAACTCGTGGAGTGGGAGAAGAACGCAATAGTCCGCCACGCCGCGATTCCCACCAGAGACTTGAGGATTTTGGGCCCTGTCTTCTCTCACTCTTCCAATATTCTTGGTAATTCAACTCTCTTCTTAATTTCTCGTTCGAGTTTATCGTTTTTGAAAAATTAGGGTTTATGTGAATGTTTGACCGAGCCAAGTTATGTTATGCTTCAACTTTGCAGTAAATGAGCGATGTATCGGTTCAACCCAGTCGCGTGTTTTCAATTGTTGTTGATGTATTCCGCATCAGAATTGTGTTTGTTTTGGTAGCATGACTATGTTTATCTGTTATAAGATATAATGAATGTTTTATGATTGTGATGAAGAATGGAATTGCGTATGCTGTTACATTTTGCAGCGAGAGAGAAAGCGATGGTGGTTAATTTGGAGTTTATAAAGGCTATAGTAACCGCTGAAGAAGTCCTATTGCTTGATCCTCTTCGCCAAGAGGTTCTTCCGTTTGTTGAGCAACTTAGGCTACAGCTTCCGCATAAAAGTCAACCTAAACTTCTTGGCCCTGCCGAGGAACAAGAAAGTGAAATGCAGGTATCGAATGGCAGACAGTGGTTGCCTGTGCCGGAATCTGCCGAAGGTTTGCATTCTGAGCTTCCGTTTGAATTTCAAGTGCTGGAAATTGCTTTGGAGGTTGTCTGTACTTATCTGGACTCTAGTGTGGCCGACCTTGAGAGAGGTGCTTACCCTGTATTGGATGAACTGGCTAGGAATGTTAGCACCAAGAATCTTGAACACGTGCGAAGTTTGAAGAGCAATCTTACACGTTTGCTGGCTCGCGTGCAAAAGGTACATTGCGTGATAAGTACCTTGTGGTTCTTCCTCTGTTTCTTTTCCTTTTTGGTTTTCCTTTTTCTTACCATAGTTACTATCCCACTGCTAATCTTATCATTTTAAAAGGTTGTAACTAAGTTTTTTCAATTGTTCTTTCATTACCTATAGATGGTTGTGGAAGTTGAGAATTGGAGGATTGACCTTCAGTAGAAGAAAAGTTGTAGATATACCTATTGGATTAAAATTTGGCACAAGTATGATTTTTTCAATTTAATGTAGTTTGTTGAACTGCTCAAGATACCGGTTAATAGCACATGAGAGGTGCAAATTAATAATAGTGCGAACAGTTCTTCTACATTTATTATACATTGAGATGGTTGAAAAATTTTTCAAAGAATTTACATATAATTGGACTGCATCCGATTATGCAGTCTTGAACAAAGCATGAACAGCCATTTCATGCTAACTCTGGAGTTGTTGAGTTTCCTTTGTTATACTGTTCAATAGTCATATTGCTATTAAACTCTCCAATGGAGGCTTTTGTTCTCTGTTTTATATAGAAAAATTATTGTAGGTTATTTTACCTTATATGCAATGATGCATTCCATAATCTGAGATATCATTCTTAGGAAGTGTATAACCCACTTTTGCAGGTACGAGATGAAATTGAACATCTGTTAGATGACAGCGAAGATATGGCACAGCTATATTTGACGAGGAAGTGGTTGCAGAATCAGCAATTTGAGGCTCACTTGGGTGCCACAACATCAAATAACTTTTCTAATACTGCACATACAGTTCGCCGACTTGGTTCTAACAGAAGTGGAAGTCTTGTGACCAGCAACTATGGGGATGATAATGACGTGGAGGACTTGGAGATGTTGCTTGATGCATATTTTATGCAATTGGATGGAACTCGTAACAAGATATTATCTGTAAGTGTTCTTATGAGCAGATTTTGGTCACATCATGTCTCTGTCAAATTTGTAAGGTTGAAACTGTCATTTTCTACTTTGATTCTGCTATCTAATCTAATTTATATCATCCACGTTTAGTTTTAGATAATAAAGTTCATACATTCATATTTCATCTGCTTACATGACTTGTCCACACAAAGTTGTGACTTGTGATACTAGTGATATAATATTATATTATTTTACTTTTCTCTTTTTTGGAGGATGGAGGGAAGCTCAGTTTTTCCTTGTTTTGATGTGACACTTCTGCGAGCTTCATGTTAAGATTCATGAGCTCCAGAAATTAATTTAAGCTTGCCCTTTATTGCGGCCATCAATTTTTATTACCATGATTTTAGAGATAATGTTTATAGGATAATGGCACTAGTAGTTATATCCGAGTTTCTTTAATTCTGGATTTAAGAAATATCTTATTGTCTGACTTATTGGAAAACAAGTGGTTGTAACTTGTAAGTTGTAACCACCTACTGTTGATTTCTGTTTCTTGTTTACAATGATCGAATGATTATTGTTAATGATGATCACAAATACTAGGAGGGAGGAAGTTATGTTGGGTTTGTGATTTTGAAATGTCAGCTGAATTTATCATTTATTTCTGGAATACCAAATATTATGAGAATTTGACAAGAATCTTGAATGTTTTGTCAATGTTATTGATCTACAGAAATGTGGTTCTTACTTCTTTTTGGCTACTGACTTGCAGGTTAGGGAGTATATTGATGACACTGAAGACTATGTCAATATCCAACTTGATAACCACAGAAATGAACTTATTCAGCTGCAATTGACATTGACTATTGCATCATTTGCTATAGCCATTGAAACGTTGATTGCTGGTGTATTTGGGATGAACATTCCTTGTACATTATATAATAAGGATGGAATATTTTGGCCCTTCGTTTGGATTACTACTGCAGGTTGCGTATTGCTTTTCCTGCTTGTTTTAGCATATGCAAAATGGAAAAAGTTATTGGGATCATAAGCCATACTTGGTCATCAGCTATTGTGTTGTGACAATAGGCAATATAAATTTCCACTGTCGGTTATCTGAAGAACGGATTCAAACGAGTCCCAGAAATGACTTATGAAGAGTCTATCTCAATTACTCCCAATATTATTAGCTGATGTCTAGGATATCCCAACATTCCTTTTAACGTAATGTACTTTTTAGCTGATACTATTCAAAGCAATTTTCATTTAGCAACTTTATGGCGTCGTGTGCGTGTGTTGACTCGATCAGCTTATATGAGCATGGCGATTGAATAAGGAAAATGAATATTGTGTGCGCTTCATTCATGAATCCACCGGTTCACTTTACACGCAGGCAATGGACTACTGTGAGGAAAATTTGGGACTTCTAAATTCTCACAAGATGAAAGATACTCAATAATTTACACTAGCATTTCTTTAATTTTAAAAAATTTGAAGTTCTATTCATCAAAAATAGAAGTATTACATTTAGCTCTTGAATGTTAATGAACCTTAATACCAGTGAATGGTTAGATGAACAAACATTTCAAGTTATGAAATTACATGAAATATTTCTGACGGTCCAACTCCAAGAAATTACACGCCACCCAAGCAGAAAACGCCTTAACCATGCTTGGGACTCTGCAATATACATGCATTTGGGTCTACTTTACAGCTTGCCGGATAGAAAGGAACCTGCCATTTCCAGCATATTACCGTTTCTATGTTCTATGATATTTTATAAACACGTATACCATTAAGACTATTGAGCATAGAATGCAGAGTATAAAACGATAAAATTTTGACTACGGATTGGTGGGGTGCGCCAGGCCCTTGCTATAGTGCAAGGCATGGGCGACGCTTGAGAGTTCCAATAGCAAGCTATTGTTTCGAACTCTCCCCCTCAAAAAATTAATTTAATATCATGTGGACCAATGGTCCACGTATCAGATATTAAACTGATAAGAACAGATACTACACTTGATCTTAGCCAAAAGGCCGAGAAAGGTATGCTTTGGAATGGGGTAGGCTCTGGCTTTTATTCTTGTTACCCGCTCTTCTTCTTTTCTGGATTGTCGAGGTGGGACTTCTATGCGGCAGCTGCGAGTAAAATAAAAAACAGAGTGCAAAACTATCATGCTCATTCATATATTTCATGTATATGACATAAAGTCCACTAACCTTTTTCTTCTTTGCAGTTTAATTTTACTTAAACTTACACAGAAATCAAATATAGTGATTACTGGGTCATTCTAACTGAGCATTCTAGTTATACAGCACTTAGCATAGGAGGGTTTAGGGTTCAGGGGGAATAACTCGTCCATCAAATTAAAATTTGCTTGTTCAATACAATTGTAACATTACAGTGTTTAAAATGCCGAAGAAATGCTTGACTCTTTTGCATACAGGCTAGTTTAGCTTGAAACGAAATCGAAGTCAATAGTTACTAGGCAGGCAAGTTCACATTTGCGGTATAATTTCATCCTAAGTTAAAAGAAAATTTTTCAGTTGCAACCTGATTGTAGATCTACAATGACCTACTTAATAACAAACTGCATGAATAGAGTGGTTTCTTTTTAACTTGATTGTAGATCATACCTCTCTTTTTATGTTGTATTTGTGCATGATATTTTTGTACTATGTCCATTTGCATATGTTCTTTGCTTGAGTTCAAATCTTCAGAAACAATTATAGATGCAGTGGTTCTGGACTGTTTACTTACTTTCTTGTCATTATTCCTCTTTCTATTATCCCTTTGTATCTGTTTCACTTTTTAACCATAGCTATTATTGCTGACTATCGCTTTTGGTAAAACAAAATGTACTATTATGCAAGGTAAGTGACAAATCTTGTCTCTCCTTTTCCCCCAATTGTTCAGCTTCCTTTGTTACTGTTCAACAGTCATATTATGCTCTCAAATAGGCAAATTTATAGTCAAGGCCATCGTTGTCTGATGATGCACCATATCATAGTTAAGTCAAATTAATCATAACATCTCTTTGATGACAACGAAAATATTGCACAACTATATTTGACAATTAGTTACAAAATCAGCAATTTGAGGCTCATTTAGGTACCATAACCACCAATAACATTTCTCATACTACAACTGTTTTTGGTCGAATTTGTTCTGACATAAGTGGATCTTGTGAATCAATTTGTGACCAGCAAGTTTGGGGATGATAATGATGTGAAGGATCTAGAGATGTTGCTTGAGGCATATTTGGTACAGTTGGATGGAACTTGTAAGTTGTAACAGGTTAAGTGTTATTTATTGATCACTTGGGAGATAGCTGTTTTCTTATGACCAGATTATGGTAAAATCATGTGGGTGTACAAGTAAATGTGACATGATTGTAGATTTTATATATTTTCTCGTTCTAAACAAACTTTTCAAATGTTGGGATTATTATTGATTGGCAAAGAGTATAGTGGTACTTATGTTAAAGCTCTATCTCTTTATTATTTTTCTTGAGAAATATGGTTCTTACTTCCTGGTTAGGGAGGGAGTATATTGATGACACACGAGACTAGTCATAACTTGTCACAACTAGATTGAGTCCAAAGAAAAAGACACCCCACCATATGCTGATGACCTGGTGATTTGGTTTGAACATTCATTGTTCATTTTTCAGTATATGACTGAAAAAATGGAGTAGTTTGGATCTTAATTTCCTGGGAGCGTTTCTGCTCGGGGCGCATTGATTTTCGTGCTTATTTTTGCCCATGCAAAATGGAAAATGAGTTCATTGGATCGTAAGTGTACTTCTTTAAACGATAGTAGTTAATATTATTCATGTATTAAATTTTACGATATTTTATTATTGTTAATAAAAGTTTATCATACATAATTTTTTATTGACACCTGTTAAGAAAATAATCATATAAAATTAATAATAAAAAAAACTTCTGACTTAGTGCTATAGAAATGTCATGAAGACTGGTTTGTGAAGAATTGAATTATCTCAAGTGTTATGTTCACCTCAAAAGTATGCAATTTTGAAATATAATATAATATTATATTAATATAATTTGAATGGATAGGATGTGATGCAGTAAAATTGTATGTTGTCTACCATATTCCAACACTGCACTTTATAGCTCAACTATTCACGTAGCCATTTTTTCTCTTTCAACAGCACTATGATATCAAATATTAATAAATGGTGGCGTAGGAGTATATAATTGAATGTTTTGGACATGCATGGGATCTCCTAACAACTTGTCCCAATGCGCATTGCACTTCTTCTGTGGATTTTGCTGTCCACTGAATCATCCTCTCTCCCCACTTTACAGCTCACGCCAATTCCTACCACTTCTATACACTCTTCAAATCTACCAACACATTATTTAACACTTTATTTATAACATTTTATTAAAAACAATTTATGCATATTACCTTCTATTGCACTGAAAAAAAAACAAAGATTATAATTATAATTTAATGTGAATATATAACCAAAGGAAACAAATAAAATAAAGAGTGAATAAAGCTTCATCTGAAATCTGATCTACATTCTTCGGTAAACTGCGAAAAATCTAACTTATTGTGCCTGTGCAGTTTAAAATCTGATATCCTCAAAAAAATGGTTTGTAATTATACTACACTACATGCTCAAACACATCTTTAAAAAGTATAAAATAAAATACTCCTTAAATAATTTTGTCCACCATGAATTGAAAGTGAATATAGCAGCATATACTGTAGAAAGTTATTTTTATACAGTTAATGCGATTTTAAACCATGTTAGCAGACATTAAATAGGTTCAATAATACAAAAACATTTTCGTTCAGTACATTTATTTATTCTCTTTCTTTTCTTTTTCATAATGCTAAGATTACTATTTAACTTATTTATTAAATCATATAGTTTTTATTTATTAAATAAATAATAATAATAATAATTAAATATTGGATGAAATTTTAAGAAATTATTTGATTCGAGTTGTTCCCACGTTAAATCAGAGCAGGTTTGCACTAATTAGTTAAGCATTATTCGAATAATTATACATTTTTTTTAATTTTTTTGATGTCAAAACTATGATAAGATAACAACATTATCGAATAATTAGGGTAATAATATATTTTAAATTAAATCTTTTTAGATTACAGCTCATAACTAATCTAGCATGACAAAGTATAAAATTTTAATATTGTTTATATCTCTTTTTAATAGTGAATAGTTTTAAAATGACATTTAGAAAAAAATAGAAAACAACATATGGTGATTTTAAAGTTGGGATTATTAAAAATAAAAATATTATTGGGATGATAGTGAGTCAACTAACGCGAAGTCAATTTAATTTGATGAGTGGAATCTTCACATGTTACAGATATTTTTATGGCGAATTAATGGTGATTTTCCCATCTCTAGACACAAGTGGGACAGCGATACAACAACATGTATTATTTTAATAAGGTTTGAGGCCAATTTAGAATAAATAAGAATTGTAGGGGTCAAAACGTGAAATGGGAAAAGATTTAGGAATAGTAATACTTATCATGGCTTTACAATCAAGCCCCATTCCCAGCTTCAACAAGAAGACAGAGAAGCGAAACGAAGAGAGGTGGTTGAAGAAACGAACCCTAAGAGAGAGAGAGAGAGAGAAACTTTGCTTTGATTTCAAGCCCTTTTACCATTGCATTTCGGGATCTCGAATCTTCAATCTGCAAAGGTCAGTTTTTTTTTTTTCTTCTTCTTCCTTTCTTTTTAGCGTTTTATAGACTTTGTTTGTTTGCTTGCGAAAACGAATCCATCTCCATTTTCATCCCCAATTCGTTCGATCAGCTTGAAATCATTGGCCTATTGATGCCACAGTGTCGCACATTGCAGGTGCTTGTTTCTACGAATACTAATTTCCCTTCTGTGTTGATTTTGTTTTCTCTCTTATGTTTTTAATGCGTGTATATGGATGCTTTGGGTAGATTCTGTAGCAAAGGAAGCATAGTAAAGTTTCTATTTTTGTTTTTTTCCCTCATCTGGGTCCTCGGAGAATAAAAGTATAAAACAGAAACTTCAGCAATTGGGTGCATGCTTTATTTTTATTTTGTTTAATTTATCACGATTAAGTTTATCTTGATAGATTGGATTTTTTTTCCCCAGTTAGTGGCTTGTGGCTGCCGGATTCTGGATTTTAGTTTCTGATGGATTTTATTTTATTTTTTTTTAAAAACTTTGTTATTGATTTTTCTGTTACATTGGTAATGAACTGTTGCCTTGCCAGGCTTGGTAGACACCAGTGTTTGGGTTTGATTTTTATAAAAATAAAATTAAGATGGCAACTTGTTCAGCAATATAGCAATGGTTTTAACTTAAAATCATTGTTAATTATTACGTGTGGTGGGATTGCTGATGTGCATGGTACTATTTCATACCTGGTGCACATTGCTTATGATGAAAAAGTATAGAATGATTGGTGTGTGCTGCTCCTATACCGTGAGGGAAGGAAGGTTGGACAACATTAGTCAACTGTCTGAGATTATGGTGTAAAATGAAAATTTAGGGGATTGTTCATGAGATGGCTGGATAAATTTTGGAATTACACTTTGGCAAATAAAAGAAAGAGATAGATCGATAAAGCTGCCAACACGATGTGGACTTTTATCCAATGAAATATGTAGTAGTATCACAGAGATCTGGGATATTTAGTTCTTAGGCATTTTTCTCAATGAAGTATCTCTAGACTCATTCTTTTGGTCACCAAGAAGCTGCCTTGGTTACTTGTGGATTCCTTGTGATACTAGTGGGAGCAGGTGCAGTAACTCTTTTGGTGCTGTGAGCGTGGGTGCTTGTATGTATGCTAACTTTCAAGTTTTGGAACATTTACCAGCATACTGGTTCCCGTAAAGGATCTTGGTACTGAATAACATGTATTTGTGGTTTATATTTTGTAATTGAGATCCCAGGCATATCATATCATATTTGTTGAATCATGGGTCACATTTTTAGATTTTCATTAGAAGATCCTTCCATAATTATCGATTGTATTCTCTTCTTTATCATTATCTATTAACATATTTTTAAGGTCACATTCGTTTCAAATTTATAATTTGACAGGCATTATTGACTCTGCTTCTATGGCGAATTCAAAGAGCTCCTCGGGTGTCAGAAATTTGATTTACCCGGGAAAGCATGCATTACTTCCTCCTAAAAGCCCGTTTCCTAGTGTTTCTCAAGCATACGCGGATTATATCCCAAATCCTGTTGTTGGTTCAAAGGCAGCTAACAGACCTAGAGAGGGAAACACACATCACCAACGTACTTCATCTGAGAGCCTTGTTATAGAGGAGCAGCCTTCATGGCTTGATGACCTTCTTAATGAGCCAGAGACACCTGTCCGAAGAGGTGGTCATCGGCGGTCGTCAAGTGATTCTTTTGCATACGTGGACATGGTTAATATGTCTAACATCAGTTATGCCGATCAAGATGAATATAAATATAAGAATTTGATGTCTATTCCATCTTGGTCACCTCAAGACTTTGACCGCAGCAAAGATGCTTGTCATTTACCTGTTTATGCTGAAATAAACTCAGCAAAACAGAAAAATAGATCATGGGACTCTTTTTCAAATGCCGTGACAAATGCAGGTGGTGTTCCTTCTGGGAAAGACACTGTTACTTTTCAGGGTTCAGGATTGCCAAATACGACACATGAAGCAGATGTGCTTCTACCAATCGCAAATGAGAAACATGATTCAGTAGAATCTGGCTTACAAGACGCAAAATCAATTTCTGAAAAAAAGGATGGTTCACATGCGAAGTCATCTGCCTCTGAAACAGATACAAAACGTGCTAAACAGTATGCCACTATTTTCTCTTATTTTATGGCTATTGCAGTAATTGCTTGATTATCACTAATATGTAACTTGGAAGCTGCAAGTTCTGAATGGTTTTCTTATGGCACAAACACATGAAGTAATGTCATACCCTTTCATTGACCCCTTTTAAACCTTGTCAGATAAGAGTGCATATGATTATAGTGTCTATAATTCAATATTTTACTACCATAGGACTTCTTAATAATATATGTAGACGGAGGATATAGCAATTATTTGTGGCACAAAGCGGTGTCTTCATATTAGAGCTGGTATGCTATTTCTCATGTAGAGAAAGCAGTTAAACCATGCTTATCATTATATAATGAAATTTGGTGTGTTTTTACATTTTGGTTATTTTTTCTATTTGATATGATTTACAGAAGTTTTTATGAAACCAATCAATTCAAATGTGGAAAGGCAAAAAAATTGAAACACTCTTAATGCAGGCAATTTGCTCAACGATCACGGGTCCGGAAACTACAATATATAGCTGAGCTGGAAAGAAATGTACAAGCTTTACAGGTAAGTTTCCGCTTAAGGCAATATTCTGCTTGGTTTCATAGTGACATTTTTTGAAAATATGTGTATATACTAGGTAGGAAAGATGAAAGTTCTGATTCTGTTTCTTTACATGTCTAAACATAGGCTGAAGGGTCTGAAGTCTCAGCTGAGCTCGAGTTTCTTAACCAGCAGAATCTTATCCTGAGTATGGAGAATAAAGCACTCAAGCAACGTTTAGAAAGTTTAGCACAGGAGCAGCTTATCAAATATTGTAAGTTTCTATAGTCACAATATCCTTTGTTGGTCAGAGTTCCTTTAGTCCTGCAAACAAGTTCTTATTCATGATAGTGGAAGAATTTTATTAAGGAATTCTTGGCTAAAATCTTTCTTGTTTAGGAACTATTAATTAATGGTTAACAATATTTGAAGAATGGTTGATTTGTTAATTGTCTTAACTTAATAATAACTTGTCTAGTTATTTGTTGCTACACTGGAAATAATTTCCTGGAAATAGTTAAAACTTCATTAATTATGTGACAGTGCATGATTGATATTCTAAAAACTTCGTGCTGCCTCATAGATTTGATAATAAGGTTTGCTCCTGCTGGTTTGGTTGGTTTTACTATATGTTCAAACACACTAGGGATTGAAAATTTTAAAAAAATTGATGTGTGGGAAAAATTAAAAAATATAAGTGTTTATGTAAAAAATGTAGTCTTGAGCTTTAACAACAAATTCATATGCTTTAAGCAAGGCTCTGAAAAATCTTAGAAGTGTTGCTTGTACTGTGTCATTTGTTATAATTATTTGTTTTGTCGTTACAAACTGTTGTTAACTAGGGCGTGCTCCTTGCCTGAGCATTCTATTCTTGTTTTTCTTCTAGTTGCAAACTAATCATGATCGAGCTTTGAGCAAATTTGACGCTTGTTTGTTTTCTTTGAAAAACTGCTTTGCATACTGCATTATGTCTTGTTTATATAGAGAATTATTGTGGAAATGATGATCTTGTCCTTCCCCCATTGTATCTATTTAATAAACTAACAAAATAATATTAGACAACCCATACAAAAATGTTCATCCTTTGGCACATTATTATATTAGCAGAATCATTGCTATATATAGGATAGTGATGGAAGTTAGGAATTAAGATATAGCTTCAAGAAATGAGGTGTGGTTCTGTTGGCCACCTGAGCTACCATATGGACAGACATTTCCTGCATTGCGGGGTTCAAATTCCACTGGAAGCACTTGTGGCCAGGGCCACTCCATCATTTACTCAGATGTGTGAGCAGGGATTTGTCTCTTGCCCAAAGGGTTTGGGAACACCTTGTGGAAGACAAAAAATATGAGAAGAAAACATGAACTGAAATCCTGGCCCCTTGAGTTTTCTTTGGGCCTCCTTAGTTCTTTTTTTAAGCATGATTAGCTTCATTAGATATGACAGGGGTATGTTTTCTACGCTAAAAACTCTGCAATTTGAAATTCAGTGGAACAGGAAGTACTGGAAAGAGAGATTGGAAGATTACGCACATTGTATCAGCAGCAGCAGCAGCCACAGACACATCAGCCACAACAGCAACCATCTGCTAGTCATAGACGCACAAACAGCAGAGACCTTGAATCTCAGTTTGCAAATCTTTCTCTAAAACACAAGGATACCAATTCAGGGCATGACCCTGCTACTGGAGCACTCAGAATTTAGATTTGCACTAGCTGTAGCCTTGTTCTGCCTCTACATTCAACTGGTGTTGCCACACCTGCGATAGAATTGTTTCCTTCCCATGTGTGGGATTGTGCAGAGATTTCCAGCATATTCCCTCTCTCTGCCCGCTTTGCTGCTTTCAGCCTTCTCTTAGTCTTTCCGTTTTCTATTTACTTATATTATTACCATTTAATGTGCACCTGGTGGTCATTGCCGAAATCTTATTCTATTTCTGTCAATTGACCTACCAGAGGTGGTAACTCAACATTTCCAAGCTTTCAACAACCTCCCCCCCCCCCCCCCCCAACAGTATTTCAGTGAATATGTAGCTGTAATGTATACCCCCTCTTGTGAAACTCCACTATTGTGGAATTTGGCCCAGTGCAAATAGCAATATCTCAGGGCCACTTGAATGTGCCTTATTTGTATGGATAATGTTAAGCTAATCAACGTTTGTAATGTGATTTTTATGTAGTTATGTTTTCTCAACATATTGTTTGATAAAACAGTGAGAAAATTGACCTAGGACATTTTTTAAGTCAGCTGATTTCTGAAAGTTCCGCTTTCACTTACAGACCAAGTAAAAGGCTAAAAGCTTTTTATAGGTTATTGTTTTTCATTTTAGTGGGTCCTGTAAATCAGAACAACTTAAACTTTTCATCTGATGAGATAATGTGTTGTTATATCAAATCGAATCTAGAAGACGTGCATTTATGTGCTTGGCACGACTCATGAGAAAAGGGCATTCTACTAACTCTCAACGTTAGGGTCGGATTCATATGGTGGGATTTGGGCAACGCTTTGGAAGATGTCGTTGGTGTTCAAACATTTGAAGTAACCTATTGCATGTAGGAAAATGTTTTGTGAACGTCAAGGTTTTGTGCCTTTTTTTAATTTTGAAATGTATATATTGAGGTACCTGGCTCCCAGAAAATTTTAAGTTAATTATATCTATAAATATTTTAATTCAAATAAACGGTAGATGAAATTTTACTTTTTCACTTCATACATTCTGTTCTTTAGAGTATTAAATCTATTATTCATATATTTATGTATAAAAAAAATTTAAAAATCAAAGAAATATTAAATTATATATGTTATCATATATAATGTCAAATTTGAATAATAAAAGTATTTTACGCATGAAACGTCATTTTGCTAGCTGATTGTATGGGATTAAAGGAAGGCTAGTTGAGACCCATGATAAGACGATAAAGGAGGGGGAACGGTAGCTTGACCAATTTTCAAACAGAACCAGTTAAATTAGTGCTGTGTTTATTTAACCTTGTTGCTTTATTCGCTGAAATCGACTTTTTTTTTTTTTAACTTTGTTAAAACTCCATTCTACTTGCCGCCTAGTCAAGATTAATGTCCAAAGTTTCGTGGTATTTCAAACAAAAAAGCAATGTAGTCAAGAACTAAACAGGTTTTATGTCCAGTTGCACCCAAAATTAAAAGTTAAAAATCAATACTGAACTTAGGGAATTAGGTGATGGCAGGTTTACGCACAAAGTTGACCTGATTCATCTTCCCCATTTATTAAATGTTATCTTGATTATTGACTTTCAAATTTCTAAGACTGTTTATACTTGTATCTAATTACATGTACAACAAAAGGGCATAGATCGTATTTTAAACGAAAAAACTTTCTATATCGCTGAATAAAAAAATCATGTTCACCTTGTTTCATTTTACCAAAACATGATTTTCACATAATTATTTCTAATAGAAGATATCTACGGCCTAAAAATAATAATTTTCACTAATTTGATTCATTTTTAATTGTTTTAAATTTTCAACTAATTTATCCAACAAGTTTTTTGGGCAAACTAACCCACAACAAACCATTAATTTATTAAATGAAGCACAATTATATACTTTTATCTTCACCTATTTTAGATGAACCTGGTTCAATCTGTAGATAATCTCTCCCATATCTTCCATTCAGACACGCCCCCCCCCCCCCCCCCCCCCCTTTCTCTCCGTACTTAATCTAAAGAAGTCGTTGATACAAATTTTGTCCTGCTTAGAACAGAATTACTACCAGAAGACATTTTCTGATAATAAAGCATGAAATACAATAACAAAGACAGTTTATATGGTAGGCCAATAAACACTTCAGAAAGTGATTGATTTTAGATATAATACATTGTCGAGAATAAGAATCAATTTATCGCTTTGGATAATAGTTACAGTTGTCACACAATTATTCATTCTCATTTGCAAATTATCCAAGCTTTTCTACCCATTTCTCAACAAATTATGAAAACAGAACCTTCATATGCATCAAATCAAAATCTGTTCAGGAATTGAAGATAGCAATTGCATGAGCAATATATGTCATCTAAGCTAACTCCAAAAGGCTGCTACAAGAAACTCCTTTCTTTCTGCCATTCTCCTGTCCTAACATTAAATACTTGATACAAAAATTGAAATCCTCTGACTGAACAACGACTCTTATAGAACTGCAGTTTTTTGCTAGTTTATAAGCAGCATCTTGCTCGCCAGATTCTCGTTATTGGATTCAATTATCCCTTAACTGTGCCTACGCCTTTTAGCATTGTCCTCTGTGAATAACTCCCAATTATTATGATCAAGGTTGCTCAAGTCATCAAGCTCTGCAATTGCTAGTAAGTATTGGGTAAGTTTCACAAGCTCCTGATCAGTATCTCGATTGGCATGAGCCTTCCTGAATGGTTTAATTGTCAAACCATTTTGTGGGTTCATTACAAAATTTCTTCGAAGGTCGTCAAACATGATAGTATTCGAAGCATTGTAGAACTGAAATAAGAAAAGAAAGCACCCATCATGACAACTAGATCATAGAAATGGCTGACTGATGCCAAAAATTCAAACAAATACTAAAATAAATGAAAAACATATAGATTACAACAACTTGGAATGTAAATGTTTCATTTTACAATTTTATTTACCTTGAATCAATAAATCCCATAACCCACCTAGGTTTATCTAACTTATGATCATCCGCACAAGCACTAAACATCTTTTTAGTTTTTCAGGAAGATGATGTTGCAACAGTAGTCTTTTTCTGGTACTGTTTCTCCACATATAAAAAGCAAACTAAAAAGATTATGCTGCGGATGGGGAATGTATGAAAGAACAAATAAGCTAACTTGATTGTATTAACTTTACATAAAGAAGATAAATGGCATGTTATTATCATATATTCTTATTATATACCTCAGGGAACTGAGCCCAGATCAAACCAAGAGGCTTGCAATCAAAGACCCCACGAGAAGATGTCTGAACAGTGATCATTGCCAAGTGATCGAGAAGTGCAGTGATTCTGTAGTTAGGATTGTCCAGAACCCCAAGTTGTCCCATCTTCAGGTTAATCCACTTCATGCTGCAGGCAGTGAATGTAACATTCATTCCATTGATTAGATAGAATATAGACCTTGAGTCTACTCTTCCAAAAGAATAAGAATTTGATAGAATAGATGAGAAAATAACACTACCTGGTTGCAGACCATATCATAATGTCATACTCAGCATAAACTGACGTAAGAAACTCGTGAAGGTCTGCAGAACAAAACAAAAGAACAAGTAAGGAACAAGAGAAAAGAGAAAGGAAATAACAGAGTAATGCACCAAATTAGCCCAAAGAATTTAGGCATTAAAATTTAGTTATTAAAATTACTAAAAGATAAATATCTTAACCCTTGACATTAGGGTAATTTGAAATACAAAATTAGTGTGGATTATTGAAAATTAAGAGAATGAAAAAAGGGGGGAAGTTACAAGGTCTCATTAGCTGAAGAGGGTTCTCAGCAGTGGAGCGGTGATCAAAGAGGGTGTAATCAATATCGAGAACGAGTAGTTTCTTTCCTTTGCGACAGGGATTTTGAAGCTGAACCTTGAAGTGATTAATGCGTCTGGCCAATTTTTGTTTATTGACTTCCATGTCTTTGATGTCAACAGCTTCTTCTTGAGGAAGCTCGAAATCGTCGAGAATCTCAGGGGACTCCACGGGATCCACGAGCAAGTCTTCTTCGGTAGTACTGAGATTGTTTAATTGCATTTAATGAAAATGAACATGAAAATGAAGAGATAATTGAATTAAACCCTAGGGTTGAATTGCGTACCCGATCATAGTCATCTTGAAAGACGAGTTAAGAGAAAGTTGAGAGAGGAAGAGAGAGTCATCGTTGAGTTTGGAAGCCAGTTTAGGGTACAAAAGCTTCTGCCGAAAAGGTAAAACATTGGTTAACTCGCAGATTCTACGCTTGAGTTCACCCACCGTGTCGTCTCCGCAAACTCGCACAGTGTACTCTTTCCCACTCCATTTCACTTTCAGCGTCACCTCTTCCAACGATGCCGAAGATGAACATGCCATCCCTCACTTTCCACCACTGTTCCTTCTCCTTCCTTTCCGATCACACCAAAACCCTACTTCAGCCTCTGTTTCCACTCAGCTTTCATATTTGGCCAAACACTTGTTTTTCGTTTTTTTTTTTTTTTTTGTTTAAATTGTTATTTGGAAGCAACACGGTTTTTTTTAATTAATTATTTTCTTTAAAATAAATAAAAATATTGAAATTCAAATATACTATTGACATAATATTTAGTGAAAATTAGTTATTTCTTTAAAATAAATAACAAAATTTGAAATTCAGAAATACTATTGACATAATCTTTAGTGTATGGATGCTAAATTTATATATGGTTAAGCAAGGAGAAAATAATCCACTAAAACTCTTATTATATTTTCTTTGACTTACTTAAGGGAAGAGACCAACAAATTAATAAAATAAAATAAGCAGTTTTCTTAAAAAATTGTTTGTAAAAAGTGCAGACTTTGTCTTATTTAGCCATTAAAAAAATATAATAAGCCTTAATAGATTAATGAAAATAAGAGTCTATAATTATTCTAAATAGTAACTTAAGCTGTCTAATTAGCCATCCGGAATGTGATGAAATCATTTGAGGTGTAATTTTTGGAACCAATTTTGTAGTTTTTATTTTTATTTTTGATTAATTTACATTTCATTTCTAAATTTTTTACATTTGTTGTACTTGTTATAAACATGTAGATTTTGTGAGTATTATCTTTTCTTAATTTTATGGATTTGGTTCATTGATGGTTTTTAGAACTGATTTAGTTCAAATTTTTAATTCATTCATGTTTCGATTCTGGATTTTTTTTTCTTGTTTTTATTTTATTTGTTTCCAAATTCTTATTACATTACTCTCTTTACTTGCTGCATTTAAATTCACCATATATCTTTCACTTTTGAGTATGTTGTCATTTAAAAATATTTATTATTACTATTTTTCAAAATAATATATATACATTGTTTTATTTGATGATTAAATTGTTATTAATATCATTTTAATAAAAGATCATAAATGATGAAGAACAATAGATAAACAATGATAAACTTGCCCAAGACACAATTCCTTAGAAACTTGGCTAAAGCCTCACCATTCGAACAATGCAACTGGGTTTTTATATTGTTGCTTAATTGGAAGAGCAACTTCACAAAAGAAGAAAGGTATATCCCACATAAATGTGTCTTAAAACACTTATTCCTTTGGTTATTAAATTTTTAAATGTGTCCAAACTTGTTAGAGAATTTAGTTAGAATATAATTTTTAAATGCAAACATCGATATACAGGAAATTAAAAGATTGGAAGATAATTTTTTTATTAAGACCAATGAAATAAAATTCCTCATAATTGAATGATTTTATTTAATTGTTATTCATAATTAAAAACAGTAAAAAGAGAAAAGCAAAAAAAGAAAGTAAAAAAAGCGGGGTGATGGGTGAGGGTAAGGAAAGAGGGGGTGTGTTGTTGCGTAGGGTGATATCATCATAGCGATTTTCTTTTTAAAAAGTGGATTGCAACTGCGAAGGTCAAGAGTGTAGTGAAGAATAGATCCGTTTCAGTTTCATTGCTTCTGAAAACCCTAAAAACCCCTTTCGGTGATCATCGAGATTTGGATCGACGATGGATGAAGAATACGACGTCATCGTTTTGGGCACGGGTCTCAAGGAATGCATTCTCAGTGGTCTTCTCTCCGTCGATGGTCTCAAGGTATTCATCTTTTCTTCTATCTATCGATCCAATCCGCATATTGTGCTAACTCTTGAGATTCATTGTTTTCAGGTTCTTCACATGGATAGGAATGACTATTACGGAGGAGAATCCACGTCGCTCAATCTTATTCAGGTTTTTCTTTATTTCTTCTGAACTATGCTTTGTTTTTTTTTATTTATTTGAATTTCATTTTAGTAAAAATAAATAAAAATACTGTTGTTCCTTGTTTTTGAACTGTGAAATGATGGTTAATTACTTTGTTTTCTTCAGCTTTGGAAGAGATTCAGGGGAGATGACAAGCCTCCTCCACATTTGGGCTCTAGCAAGGACTATAATATCGATATGAACCCTAAGGTTTTTGTTTTTATTGTTTTGGCCTTCTGAGTTATGATGCATAATTGCATATACATTTGATCCACAGTATGATAAGATTCTCAATTTTTTCTGACCATATTTATTTATCTGTTTGTTTTCTTATGTTGTGGCTAGTTTATTATGGCTAATGGAAATTTAGTGCGGGTTCTCATACATACTGATGTTACTAAGTATCTATATTTCAAAGCTGTGGACGGGAGCTTTGTATTTAATAAAGGAAAGGTATGGTTGTGTCTTCCGCGGTTGTCTTACTGGAAGATGTCTTTTGGTTTTGGTTTTGATTTTGTTTTGGTGTTTTAATTGTTTTTCTGGTGGGCGACTCCCTTGTTACAGGTTCACAAGGTACCGTCAAATGATATGGAAGCCTTAAAGTCCCCACTCATGGGACTGTTTGAAAAACGCAGAGCACGCAAGTTTTTCATTTATGTTCAAAATTATGATGAGAATGATCCTAAAACTCACGAGGGGATGGACTTGACTAGAGTAACTACTAAAGAACTGATAGCGTATGTATACACTTGTTTTCTTGTTGTATTTATAGATTGGAGGGTCTGCCTGTGTGTTGCCTCGATACTCTGCACAAGCATATTGAAATTGATATAGGAACTGTTACTGTGTCTTATTGACCTTAATACTTTGAACTTTTAAGTGGCATTAAAATTGCCCCATATTCTTTAAGAATTAGAAAGATCAATTTTAATTGAGTTTAAATATGGTCATTTGGTACATGTTTATTAGTCCAAATTCTAAGTGCGATTTATTCTTATTTAGTATTTTTGTTCTGTGTACATATGCAATGTAATTGCATTTATGATGATTAGACATTTTCTTATGTTATATTATATATAGGTGTCTTGATACCTATAATGAGAAGGAAATTAGAACTTTGTATGGATGGTGACAATGAATATTTTAAGATCCTTTTGCTTTTCTTGTTGACCTATGACAGAAAATATGGCCTTGATGATAACACTGTGGACTTCATTGGTCATGCTTTGGCGCTTCATAGAGATGATCGCTACTTGGGGGAGCCAGCACTGGACACTGTGAAGAGAATGAAGGTAAGTTTTCTGGATTATTATGTACTTGTAATTCTTTCTCAGTCATGGATTCTTCTTAATTGAAAGTGTCTTATGTTCCATTTGGTTGTTAAGCTTTTTTGTATCCCCCATTCATGCTTATGTTTCCTACCTGTAGTTATATGCAGAGTCTCTTGCACGCTTTCAAGGGGGATCACCTTACATATATCCTTTGTATGGTTTAGGAGAGCTTCCTCAGGTATTTCTCTCTATATTTTTCTATCCCATCTGCTTCCATCTCTTTCTTTAAATGTACTGTTGGAATTCATTTTGCTCATGATTCCTTAATTAATTTTTCCAGGCATTTGCACGGCTTAGTGCTGTTTATGGTGGAACATACATGTTGAATAAACCTGAATGCAAGGTATATACTCTATTATGCATACATACATACAACAGCTCTCTCTCAATTACATAAGTTTAAGACTTGGCAACCTTACACAATTACAACTTCAGTATGAAATTATTTGGATTGATCTAATATTTAAACGATATTATTATTTAGATCATGGATGCTATGCTTTTGGCAAGTTGATATATTGTCAATTTGTCATCAAGTAGTTGATATTTTAGTTTCTTTTAAAAGTAAGTTTGTCATCAAGTTGATATAGTGTTCACTGGTGTATAATTGATTTTGATTTACATTGCTGTCAATAGATCTTAACCCAATACATATAACCTCTTAAATTCATTGGACTTGGTATTTATTTTGTCAACGTATGTTTACATGGGATGCCCCACCTCATCTCGTTATTATAATTGCTATTGTGATTTTAATTTGTATTTGAACAACATGCTGACATACAATCTTACTTAAGTATTTGTTTTTATATTTTACTTGAATTCCAGGTAGAATTTGATGAGGAAGGAAAGGTTGTTGGTGTCACATCTGAAGGGGAAACTGCAAAGTGCAAAAAAGTTGTCTGTGACCCATCATACTTGCCCAACAAGGTAGTAAAAAAATTTTCTATTTTGACTTTTTGGTGTCAATTCAGGTGATGCTGAGAGTGTGAAAATTGTTTTCTTCTGAAGTCTTGTAGCCATATACACTACCATTTATCAGTTGTCTCTGAAATTTAGCCACACTGCTGATAAAAATAAATTAATTTTGAACAGTGAATCAATGTCCAGTTTTAATTTCTTCAGTGACTCTTGACGGGAAACTGCATCGTACTTTAAAACAAAATTGTAATCTTTTCAACAGGTGAGGAAAGTTGGTAGGGTTGCAAGGGCAATAGCCATCATGAGCCACCCAATCCCCAACACCAATGATTCCCATTCAGTGCAAATTATTTTACCACAAAAGCAGTTGGGTCGGAAGTCAGACATGTAAGGGCCTCAATTTATTTGATCATGAAACTTATTTGAATAAGCTAAAAAGAGCTTAAGAGAGCTATTAATTATTTTCATCAGTTCTTCATAAGCATTTCCAAATGCTTTCTAAGTAGGACCATTAGGTTACATATTGACATATTAATATCAGTCTCTAGTCATGTTGTCCTTTACTATTTTACAATTATTAATGTAATGTTAAGCTAAAGTTTATGCTTGTTAAACTTAGTAAACAATACCATAAAAAGTTGTTTGTTGAGGCCTATGGAATTTTGCAATCATCCCAACATTGAAAGGTTTGCCAAAATGCTAAGATGATTTTAATATTTAAAACCTGGGATGATTAGTAATGTTTTGTGAATGTGATATCCAATCCATTATATATAGATTATAATTTCCCGTGTTAAATTAAATGTATTTTGTTTACCTGGGCAGGTACCTATTTTGTTGTTCATATTCCCACAATGTTGCTCCAAAGGGGAAATTTATTGCATTTGTATCAACCGAGGCAGAGACAGATCAGCCTGCAATTGAACTAAAACCTGGAATTGACCTTCTAGGACCTGTTGATGAGATATTTTTTGATATCTATGACAGATGTGAACCAGTCAATGAGTCCTCTTTGGACAACTGCTTTATATCAACAGTGAGTTACTTTATCTGACAAATATTTCAAGTCTATGCTGATAGGTTGACCGTGCTATATTTAAAATTTTTTTTTTAACAGAGTTATGATTCTACTACTCACTTTGAGTCAACTGTAGAAGATGTCCTCAACATGTATACATCGATAACTGGAAAGGTAAGTTTTCTGCTGTTAACAATTTGTTTTCCGTGCTGTGAATTAATTTGTCTGTGCCATAAATGGCAACTTGCATTATTCTACTATGTCCATTTGCTCCAGAAGTTATTGTATATTATAACTTCTAATCACTTATTTTCTAGTCTAAACAGTACAGTACACACTGTAGGAATCAATTATTCATGGGATCCAATTCTTCTATGGGAAAATAGTTGCTTAGCTACAAGTAAATGCATGTTAGTTTAACAGTGTTGGTTATCGGTGGAAGCAAATACATGAATCACCGTTTTGGGTTTTGATATGGCTTTTGGTTGTACATCATTTTTCTGTGTAATGCTAGATTCCTTCCTTCCCACTCCTCAAAACTAAGATTCTTTTTTATTTTATATTGTTGCAATTGCGTTATAACATCAATGAGTAAACAGAAAGCCCGTGGACGTACTGGCAACCTGGTGTTTGTGGCCCTTCTGATGGGCATAGGATATCTTGAATAATGAGATTCATCATATTCTCTGGATAGTTTTCTTGGTAATTGGGCAATTTGCTGATTGTTATATTCTTAATTGGGTGATTTTGAGCAGGTTATTGACCTCAGTGTGGATCTTAGTGCTGCTAGTGCTGCCGAAGAGTAAAGAAAACTGGGCGATGTCCTTTATGGTGTCTGTTTCAATCCGTATGGATGGACTTGGCAATGAATGTTATCAACGTTTATAATAAATTATGATATAAAATGTTTATTTTTTTTCTAAACAGAAAACCCTAAAGCTTGTAAAACAGAATTGTGTGGCTGGGAAACTTTTTCCCTTCCAAATGCTCTGGTTGTGCTTTAGTACATTTATTATGTTGACATACATGGATACCGTCTGCTGCAATGTTTCGTAAAATGTAGTTTTATTTTCACACTACCAATTGCTCGTCTCTTCTATTTCCGTTGCTGTTCTTTTTCTGAGGGGCACAATTTTCATTGCAGTTTGCAGATGACACATGATCACATTTAACTCGATCAGTTTGTAATTTGTATGAATATTTTAGAACTTCTGTTAACGTTTAAATTTGTTTCAAGTTATAAGGGAGATATAAATAATTTTAATAAGTAAAAAATAAAGGCAACTGGGGCGTTAAGAAAAATACGAATTTTAAAATAAAAATAATTTGAATAAGAATATAATAAAATACGTAATTAAGGTTTGAGACAATAACATTTTAACATTAAATGTTTTGATAAATTATTTAATATTAAAATGTAAAAAAAAATATTATCTAAGCCATCCTTTGTAAGAAGTGGGTATTATCTGTCTTCTCTGTTTTTTTTTTCTGGTCTTGGATTGTTTTCTAAGGTTAAATTAATGGATCCTTTTAAGAAGACGCAGAACTGTTTGGATTGACAAGTGTTTTCTTTTTTATTTCTTGTTTTAATTTTAACTATTTAATTTTTTTTTTCTACTTTTAATAGTTTGTACAAGTAAAATAAAATAAAAATAATTAAATTTATAATATTTTCATACAAATTTAAAAAATAAAATATGGAAAACCCTTTTTCAAACTAAATGCTCTTTAAAGTTCTCTTCTTATGCATTATTTTCTTCAAACTTTTATTGATAGATAACTAATTTCTTTATCACTTTAAGTCTTAAATTGATAGATATCTTCTTTATCTAGAATATTCGATTTTATTTTATTTATATCAGAACAATCAAAGAAAATAGGACTTTCAAAATAACGGAAAATATTACAAAAGAATCGTTGTTATGGCAAAACTATAGAAGTCAATTGGGAAAATTTATTTAAAAAATTGCAATCACTTGAGATGAGTTTTGACTTTGACGGAAGTATGTAAAGGCAAAAAACTAATAAAATGACAATGTCATGTGGCTAATGTAGAAATTTATGCAAATTATCATGAAAGAGTTTATTGAGATATGTCCTTTACTAATTTTCAGCCAAATAAAAAAAAATTCCCAAGCAAATATTAGTTGTAACAAGGCTCGTTGCCAAAATATACTTTTGACTTAAATTTACTTAAGATATCATTTTTGTTAATTATCCAAGTCTAAAAGTTGGATCTATATTTTGGAGGATTTTTTGTGTGCTTTTAAGCCACGGTACAACATGCAGGTCAATGAGACGATAGATTCTACAGTCCTCACTTTCTTTCTTGGAAGGGTTTGAAAGATGATTTCTCCAAAAGTTGCTGACCGTTGATTCGAAGTGTTTTTAATCCTATAGTTAAGATGCGATAGTGGACAACTGGAAGTGCAAGTTATATAAGATGAAAGACACGAGTAGTATTAGTGAAAAAATCGCATGGAAGTCCAACCGTGATGGTGTTTATTTGTTTTTTCTTTAAACCCTTGACATTGGAAACTTTTGGAGTCATGTAAGAACTCATGGGAAGATGGACAGACACCATAGCAGTGGTAAGTCTAAAGCATCACTTTGTCCGATTGAAGCTCTCAGAAAATCAAAATTGAACCAGCAATCATGGATGGAGCTTGCTTTCATCTTGATCATAACCAAAGCTATGCAAACATATAGGAAATGGAATGAAGCGCGCTGGGAGAAAGGAAAAGATAATTACGATGATTCAATATTTGCCGATTTGATAAGGTTTGAGAAGCCAAATAGAAGAAACCAGTGAAATTTTCCATCGTTGAATTATGGCCACTCAGATAGAACAAAGAAATATTCCCCTACCATTTTAGATGTTGTCTCCTACTTAACCAAAAAGGTGGACTCTAAAACTCGGTATGTCAAGATATTACAACCAACTATTGCAACACAAACTACATATTTTTTCGGATCCAAATTCTCTCTCTGAGTTGGACAAAGCAACACGAGGTCGCAAATGCTATGGTAGAAGCTCAACCTCATGCTCTTTGCAGGCCACTTAATGGCATTTTCATAGGGAAAGACATGCTTGCAATCAATATTTCAAGGTCAGTTGGACTTCATAAAATTAAAAGGGCAAACAAGTTTAAGTGGACCACCGCCACCTAATGCAAATAGTGCAAAAAGAATGTTCACTGACTACTTGAACAGGTAATCACCTAAACTGTGCAACCTTAAGCGTGTATAACGAGTAATCACCTAAATTGTGCAATTTCTAACCATTAAATCCTAGCCTTTCATTTTTCCTGTATCAGATCAATGGTCAGGAGCTTTTGGAGAAGCCATCCTCCAACTTTCTTCCGGAATAGATTGGGAGGACCCTAGAATCTACCCAGTGAGACCCAATCCATTTATCTCACCCTCATTTAAATATGCAATATGATCTTGAACAAGTCGGAGGATCACAACCCATATACATAGTTCTACACAGAATGGTAAAATGTAATTTAACCAAAAAAAGTAAATAAAGGTCGAGAAAAAGGAAAAAAGTTTTTCTTTTTATCAAAGATGTCATTCGAACCCTATATTTGCAAATCACTAAAAGGTTTAACATTAACGTTTGGAGGCAAGAGTCAGTAAGCACAACTTAAAAGAGAAAGTACAAGCACTACTAGATGAAAACTTTAACGCCCTCTCACCAAGGTGAAGAAATTATAAAGGAAAAGAGTATCCACGCAAGTACTTGGAGTCCACACCTGACTCACGGATTAGTGCAATGCGCCCAGTTCGTGCCACCTGAAGCAAGAAGAAACATCAGCAAGTATAGAGTGGTGCTGCAATAGGATGCAAGAGCCAAAAATCACAGTCTAAAAACAAGACTAAACCAGCCAGTTGTCCAGTCCAATCATATGTTAAAGAACTGCAATTTAAGAATACTGGCCTTGAACCAGTGGTAACTGGCCAGATCACCATCAAACCGTTGATTTGACGCAGGTTCAAGGGATAGTACTAGTACTAGCTCAGGTGTGGTAATATGACAGCAGCCTAACACAGTCTTCTCTTAGTCAATTAGAGGCTATACATATCACATTCCACTTGTTCCTAATGGAATTTAAACCTTGAACCTTGGACCTCTAGGATGAGAAGTGCAACACATACAGGAAATTAAACCCAGTATAGCATGCATGGGGAAGCCCAAGCATAACGGCCAACCACTATACCTAAGCAAAATTTTACGGACAAGATTCGAAGTAAGTAAGTAACAAACGATCTGGAGCTCATCGTTATCTTAATTCACTAAAAAGGTGAATATATCTTCGCTTGTTCTGGAGACATTCATTTGGAGGAGCTTTTTTCCAAGTTTCATATAAAAATTATACTTTTACACAGTGAAAATCTTTTCATTTAAAAAATTACATTTTCGATTTTAATTTCATAATTTGTTTACCTATATAGTAAAAAAAAATTAATTCATTAGGATATATTTTGCACATGTATTTTATTATTTCTATATTTAATGAAAAATACATATTCCTCCTTTGACTGTTTGTGTTTTACACACTAATTTGGTTTTTAAATAATGGGTACAAATATCCTTTATAGATATTTTAAATGAACATGGACATGTATGAATGCAGCCAAAACACCAAATTTGACTCGGGAAATTTATGAAATAAGCTATTTAGGTCAACCGTCTCAACAAATATCTACCATGTAAATGGAAAAGATTAATGAAACAGACCTCACAAATGCCGTATGGTTCTAGCAATCTCTGCAATGCAACCATTTTGTCCAAATCTCCAGCAATCTGAAATAAGTTAGTTCAGGAAATAATTTAAAAATGCTAGTTAATCCATCGTTCCAATGTCAGTAATTTCATTTGTAATTATGGTAGAAAGTGAAAAAGTAGTAAATACCATGAAGCAAACAACTAAATCCAACCCCCCCCCCCCCTTCTCCAAAAAAACAAAAAGAAAGAAAAAGAGAACAAGTTTCCAATTACTGTCATACCTTATCAAGCAAAAAGCAGTAGTAACTGATGATTAACTTAGAAGCAAAGTCAACAGGCTTGCACTAAAATGGCGTCATCAGTTGTTAACTTCTACTACTACTACTATATTATGCTTTTTGAGGATAAGCATCATCTCAGTGCCCCCAGTTTTATAATTAATATTAAATTTGAAAGAAGAGTAACATATATACAAAGTTTGGGGTGCAATTCTGACTCAAACCTAAAATTATATCTGTTAATAAAAAATAAAAAATATTCCATTGATAACCGCTAATCACATCAATAAAGAAAGAAAATGTATGTGGAATGCTGCAGACAATGGGCATAACAGGACTCTTAACTTGTTATGATGCTAAATAAATAGTTTGTTATCTATTCCCATGACCTAGGAAAAAACCTACATGATAAGGTGATGGCCAACTGGCAATCCAGTAGCCTGCCTAATCGGGGTGGCAATTTTGTTGACTATTGGAATAAATCTTGATGCAAGATTCAACAGACATTAAAATGCCAACAGGCAGGATCCTGTGATCCTGTATTAAAGTAAAACTCAGCTAAACTAATTGGTTTTAGTGCAATTGTAGTACACCAGTTACTACAATATTCAGAGGTAAAGTAGTATCCACCATGTCTGTGAGTATTGATATAAGTTGATGTTAAATAAATGGTCTATCACTTCACTCAGTAGAAAAGTCTGCTGAAATTTCACCTCTAGGGTTATTGTATGATCAGATACATCAACAGCTTTAGCCCTGAAAATGCTGGCAATATCAAGGACATCACGTCGTGCTGCAGCATTTACAGCAATCTTTATTAGCATCAATTCTCGCTCAGCAAATGGCAAGTGGGTGATATCACGAACCTGGAGAAAGATCAGCTTAAATATAGAAAAGTATAGAATGGCCAGAATTTTATAACATAAAAATTAGTCAAATATTTATGCACCATCATTGTCAAATTTTGTTCTCAATGGTAAAATGAAAAAGGAAGAAACTAGAGCAAGTTAAGGATTTATGCTTCAATAGATCTAATAGAAAATTTTTCGATTGGGATTACTGAATAAAACTAATCAGAAGGTCAGGGCACCCAAAAGACTAGCAAGGATTTTTAAATAAGACTAGTTTCAGATTCTCAAAAACACTCTTATTATTCACATGAATGTCAGGAAACACAAAATCCACTCATATTTCATCTGCGTTTAAATCTCAAAAAAGGTTTCCAACACAAATTTTATGTTGTAGCTAGGTGCACAAACAGAGAGAGAGGGAGAGGAAGAAGAAGAAAAAGAAAAAGGAATTTAATATGGTCAGATATACGGTGAACTATGGGCCAATGTCCATAGACTAAAACAAAGGGAAAGTCACTACGATCAATGAAGATTACTAGGAATATCCACTCAAGGCTGAAATCCCAAACCCAATACAGCTAATCCTTGCTGTTGCAGAAATGAAGTGCACTCTATAATGTAACTACTAATTTTACAATATGACAGTATCATGCTGCAGGAAATTAGAGTTTCTGCCTTATCAGGCATTACTCACTTCATGGTTTCACCCCAAATGTCCTTGAAAAAGATTAGTTTGGTCACATCATAGACTTCTCTGGTTGAGTTACATGTTCTTTGGCTAAGCCCAAAGTGTCCATTTCTGTGTCTATGAGGACACTGGTGGGCGACCCACATACTAAGTGCATAGGACTCAACATACAGCAGCTAAAAAATATAAATATAAAGCTCAAAGCATATAATTTATTTGTAGGATGTGATGCATTCTTTTTGATAGAGACATTGAACCTCATGCAGCTCTACTAGCTTATAGAGTTGCTGCACTAGTTTGCCAATTGATTCATCTGTCCCAGGAACCACAGTAGTAAGCCGAGAAAGTCCTTCAACTTCGGCATGTCCTACAGCTAAACTCTGGAAATAAGAAAGAGCAGATGAGAGAATAGAGAAAGTAAAAAGACTAGACTCACATGCTAGCAATTTTGAACGCACCTATAAAGTAAAAAACAACACTGAAGAAGCAAACCTGAATGTTATAGCCCCTTCTAGCAAAAACCCCTGTAACAATGTTAAGAACTCCAGGAGAATCATTCACAAGCATGGATAAAGTGTGTGATTGAATTCCACTAGTCTGAGGACAATATAACAACAGGGAGAGTTACAGGCATGTCATGGAGAAAATCAATGAAAATTACATGCTAATGTAATATGAGCATTAAACTACATTTTTGGCTCTTTACAAGCATGAAACATTTCTAATTAGAATAAAATTTGGGAATCATTTTCGAAACAAGATTCACACAATTTGGTCCCACCAAGTTAGCTCAACTAAAGTAAATTTAAATACGAGAAATGGCAAGATATCATCTAAACCAATCAGAAATTTCACCAAGCCAACAAAGACTTTTTTAAGTGAAATACCAAGCTTGTAAGTGAAATACCAAGCTTCAGCCAACAAAGACTTTTTTAAGTTTCAATCAAAAAAGAAACTTAAAAGTGTGTGAAACAGCTTTATTTTTTAAAAAACAAAGCCACTTGAGATACATAGGAAGTTGTACCCAGAAAGGGAAAATAAACAGAATAAACTAAATAGCATTTCAAGCTAAATCAGTCAGAAGGACATCAGATGCAGGATTTTATATCCTCCCATAAAAAAACACAACGATACAGAAATGGGAAGATATTGGATAAAACTCGTTCAACCAATCTTCAGCTAATTATTGAACTATTTTAAATGACTATAAATGATATGAAGTGTTACTACTTCATGTCAAAATGATCATGAGCATAACCTAAATGGACCAATTATAAGTTTGGACTTGGACAGTGGTAATAAAACTCTGCAACTCAATGAATATATTCAAACGCATAAGCAAAAACTCCAATAGAAACTTCATTATACACTAAACAACAGAGGGAAAAGATCAAATAAGAGAACACTGACAAAAAACTACAAATGAGGATAACATAGGTATTATTACATCAACAATACATTAAAAGAAACAAAAAGGGATACATTTAAGGACCATAAGCAACTGTAAACCATCTTACATCTTCATCATTAAGAACACCCCAGTGAGCATCAAGCACTTGATTGACTGTAAAACCATCTGACGGCTCTATTGGATAAACATCTCCCTTCACACAAACAAACATCAAAATGAAAAAGGTCAGAGACTAGATCTGAATTTACTAATGACCAAATTAATCCAAGTACAGAAGGGAAGGCAAATTTTGAACACGTAGCAATGGAGTGCATTTGTGCTAATGTTAGCTTCATTATGTGCAATATTTACCAATTTTTTCTACAAAAGTCAAGCTGAAATTTTACAAACTCAAAAATTAGAACAATTGATGTTAAGAAAATGGAAAAAAAAAAATCCCAACAAGAATATAATTCTCCAAAATAAGAGAGGGTAGAGACATGGAAAGAAAAATATATGGACAATGAACAAAGTTACAATCCACAATTCCCAATCAATATGAGAAACCCAAAGGCCTCTTAGAATAACAATGAGAAAGGAAAAGAAGAAGTACAACTATGTGGAGATTAAAATATTCTCCAAAATAGGAGGGAAAAGTATAAGAAATATGAAAAAAAAAAAGAGAGAGAGAGAGAGAGAGAGAATGCAGAGAGACTACCCTAGTGCATTTCAGAAATGAGCACTCAATTAAAATGGAAATGAGCAGAATACCAAAGAGAAGACAAACACAATCCTGTTCCATACCAAGCTTAAGGGAAAAGCTACATTGTTAAAGGTGAGCCATTATACTCCAGCCACATGTACAAAAGAATTGCAAAACACCAAAACTGCCATAAAACTTCAACCTGTGTGTGTTTACCAAAACCTCTCTAACAAAAGATTAAAATCTCTTCCAAGGCATTTAGGACAAAAGTTGTTCAATTGTAAAAGTTGTTAGCTGGAATGTCAATAGTGTTTAAGATGAGTATATGAGTTGAAACCATTTTGCAAAATTAGTCTGATGTAATTTTACTTCAGGAAACTAAGCTTGTGCATGATTTCTAAATCAAACACTTTTGATAGGTATGTCAATTATTTAATTTCAAGTTAATATTTTGATTTTAAATTTGCAGCGTTCAAACATGTGTTAGAAACAGAAACGGTATGTCTGACGAGTATATAAGATCTTACCCCCACAGGCATATCATTTTTGGCGACAGAATTCATGCTTTTTGCTCCCACGAGGGCATTAACAGCCGTTTTTCCTTCAAGATCTGGATAAGAAGCAGCTGAATACCGCCAAAATGGAGCAGACGCACCAATCTTTTCCCTTCTTAATGCAATCTAAGTACAGTTACATCATCAGAAATGAATCAGTAAATTTTGTACAATCTTACAAAATAATGCTTCAGAAAGTGGACAAGATACAAAAGTTAAGGAAATTTCCTTGGTACTCAATTGAACTTTCCAACCTTTCCAGTTCTGGCTATTTCTTTAATTCCAAACTTGCTTAAATTTCTTTGAACTGCAACCATCTTCCCTGGATCTCCAGTTACCTGTAACATTTGCAGAACAATTCACCAGAAATTATGACCTGATTGTATCGCCAAGAATATCTAATGATAAATTACAAGTAATGATTGTGATGGTTATTCCTTATATAATTTAAAGACTCTGGAAGAACTCTATAAATAAATACATAAAAAAATCAATTTGTTATGATAAGGAGACAAATAAAACCAGAAAGAAAACTTCATCAAGACAGATGGGTAAAAGAGATAGATGATAATGCAAACAGAGCATACCCTTCAATTACTACTACTTTTACAAGATGCATAAGAGAACACGCACTAAAACATGGAAAATAAAGATTAAAGCACATCCAAAGCTATCCAGCTATAACCTCAATTGTCACTGAATGTTCCGAGATATCCACGATCTTAGCTCTGAAGATGTCCACCAACCACTTTATCTAAGAAATTCCAGGCAGAAACAAATAAACAAAGAGAAGTAATCAAGCAAGGAAATAATCCACATACATACACTCGTAACGGATGTATGCATAACAGGTACCTCAGCACGGTCCTTTGTATCTGCATGTACTTTTATGAGCATTAGTTCACGTTCAACCTGGGGTTCACTAGAAATATCTTCTACCTGTTCAGCAAATGACACGAGCAGCATAAACCCGTAAGTGAACGATTCCCCGAGAGATTAATTATCTCAGCATTTCTACTGTTAAACGTTGTTTTCCCAACATGAAAACTCAAATTACATGTATATAAAAAGCACCTCACAAAAGCATAAGAAAAACACTAATTACAGAAGGTGCATGTCATGAACGGTGAACCTTTAAGACGTTGACGAGCTTCTGAAGCTGCTCCATAACTTGGCGCAGCACCTTATCGGTTCCTGACACAACAATGGTGAAGAGAGCCTTATCCTCATTGAGACCAACAGCGAGCGATTCAATGTTGTATCCTCTTCTCGCGAACACTCCCGCAATCCGGTTAATCATTCCACTCTCATCGCCGACGAACACCGAAACCGTGTGTCGCCGAACCCTGCATTGTTATTTGTTAACAATAAATCACTATTAGTGACGAATCAAAAGACTGACTAATAGAATGAATAAGAGGAAACGGAAAACTAGGACGTGCTTGGATCGAGAGGGGGGAGGTTGAGAGGGGGGCCCGTTCGAAGAGACGGCGGTGTCGGCGGAAGTTGCGGCGGAGAGGATGAGTTTGTCGGCTCGGAAGGGGTGAGGTAGTGAGATGGAAGGTGGTTTTGGACTGGATGAAAAGAGAGTTGTGGAATGAGGAGAATAGAACTTGAGCGTTTGGATTGGAGTTAGAGTGGTCGACATTGAAAGCAACGGTGGCGCCACCGGTGGCTGCGCTTCTGCTTTTGTGTGTGTGGGCGTTGTTACTCTTTCTTCTTCTCCTACTGCTCCTACTTCGTTGTGGCGGCGATTTTATTTCCGTTTTTGAAAAAATGTTAGAAAAATGGCTTTTTATTTTTCAAGTGTTAATATTCATTGTCTCATTGAAAACAACTTACGAAAACAAGTTTCAAATTATTTTTTGAAAAAATTAAATTTTTTATTAAAAAATAATTTATATAAATTACTTTTATGAATCCAAAATAATTTCATAAATTTTTTTCTGAATATCTCTTCATATCAGCTATGGTGTACAAAATTTAACATAAAACTAAATTAAATAGTATAATAATTATTATAATATTTGATAATTTAAAATTAAAAAATTATATGAATAACATAAATATATAATGTTATTCACTGGTTAAATAAATTAAATTTAATATTTATAAATAGTTATCGGATGAAATATATATTTAAAAAAAATGATTTGGTCATCGTAAGAGCAAGAATAATGAAAATAGACTATTAGATTTTAAGAGTATTATAATTATATTCATTGTTTTTTTCGTAATTCTAATTTCTACAAATTGAGAAAAATAATATTTTAAACTAAAGTCACCTAAAAAAGCAATGATAATAAACATATCAATTATATTTTATTTGAAGTTAATATTAAAAAAGAATGCATTGCATTTTTAAGTAATTATCTCATTATTAATAAACTTCTAGCATTAATCGTTTATCCATAATTATACAGTAAGATTTAAATTTTTCATAACCTTATAATTGAAATTTATTTTTATTAAATAGGTTAATGTATGCGTAAGAAACATATATATATCCAATAAAAACATATTTTAAAATAAAAATTACAAATGTAAAACACATGATTATATGTGTTTTAATCATTCTAAGTAATATTTAATAATTAAATTTCATTTTTGCATTCCCACGTAAAAAATCTCATTTTAAGTATTTGTTGATTGTGTTTTTTTTTTAAGTCAATTATAATATATATATATATATATATATATATATATAAATTATAGTTTTTTTTGTGTGTTTTAATATAATTCTAATTAACACAATAATTGTTATTTGGTCCTAAAGACTAGAACGTTATATACCTGCACAACAATAAGGAATCAGCGAGAATCTTAACGATTCGAAACTGCATATCCAATGTCAGCAAGAATCCTAACATTTTATCTTTGCAATGCCCTGGCTCTCAAACACCACAAAAGGTTCACCTAGCTTTCTTTTCCCTCATTTTTTTTATTCAAAGATGACGAACAATACATCCGTTACTCTTAAGAGTATAATGGCTAAACATTTATTCGTAGAAAAAAAAAAGTGAATAACTTATAGATGTCCAAGATAGAAAATTCATTTATTGTTTCCATCATTTCTCAAGCACAGACATTTCATCAAACACCTTGTACACGATCTTGAAAGATTTTTAGAAAGTTAAAGATAACATGTATCTACTTGAATAGGATCCAATTTGCACGGAAACTAAACGTCCAATCCATTTTTCGCTTAAACAATTCTAATTCGCTTAAGTGAATATAAGTTAATTTCAGTTAAGCTCGTCACAAAATAGTTTGAGTCAATTTTTATAAAACTAATCATTTAAGAGAAAAAGAGAAAAAAAATTTTAAGCGAAATTTAGCTTAAGCAAAAATTGTGACATCCTCTTTTCATTTTTCAGTAAATTATGCTTTGATTAGTGTTAAGTAATATTAAAATGCATTTAAAAGAGAAATGGAGGATTTTAGAGGAGTTTGGTGCAAGATATCTAGCTTAGGCAAGGTAAATGTTGCCCAATTGTCACCTGACCCAGGCGAGAGTGGTCTCGCTTAGGCGAGCTAGGGTTTTCATCTAGGCAAGGTGGGTCGCTCAGGCGAAGACCCACAGCAAAAATATCATGATCTCTGCATACCATCTCGCTCAGGCAAGCATATCAGAAAAGAGGATGCGAGAGCCATTCTTGTACTTTTAACTTCTCCCACTCTCAATTTCTTCAGAATGGAGAGCGGCATCAAGTTGATGCTAGCCCCCAAGTCGCATAAGGCCTTCCCAATGGTCACATTCCCTATAGTGCAGGGGATTGTGAAGCTTCCTAGATCTTTCAACTTAGGAGGCAACTTTTGCTGCAATATTGCACTGCATTTTTCGATTAAAGCTATTGTAGCATCTTCCTTCAACTTCCTCTTCTTTGAAAGCAAGTCCTTCATGAACTTGGCATACAAAGACATTTGTTTTAGCGCTTCTGCAAATGGTATATTTATGTGCAGCTTTATGAAAATGTTCAAAAATTTGAAAAGTTGCTCTTCCTTCCCTTCCAAGGTGGATTGTCATTTTAATGTTTCTTCATTAATCTTCAGCACTCATTCACTTTACTTTTCATTTTCCTATCCCTCACCACCCTGGTTTCTCTCTGTGCCTTCATTTTCCTCTTTCGAACCCTAAAATCAAAAGTTTCAAGCTTCCTAAGGTATGTTCCTTTACAATTTTCATTTCTATTTTTTCTATGTGATTCTTCTACCCTTATCTTCATCTTCATCCATAATTTTTGCACTAAATACTACATTTTTCTCTCTTTTAATGGCCAGTTCTGCACATAAACATATCATTTGGCCTAAATCTTTTATTTGCTTTCTCCATTTTTATAAATTTACCTTTTGGTTTACAAATGTTGAAAGTTCCTTCTTTATGATTATTGTGCATTTGAGCATTCTAGGGAACAGATCCATTGTTCTGTGTTTTTGCTATTTGTGTCTTTGTAAAGTAAAATTATTAGTGCATTTTCATTTTCCTATTAATTTTTCTCACAAGCTTTCATTTTTTTTTTCTGATTTTTTATGTTCTTGTTAAATTTAAATTTTCTTCTATCTCGTTACCCACACTGGGGCTGTAGTATGTGTTTTGCATTCTCTTCTCTGAATATTCTTATTAATTGCTGCAAGTTCTTGTTCCTTCCTCTTCATTATAGAATTTGTGTGTATATGTTTCTCTACTATTATTCATATTGATAACCTTCAGAAACTAGGTACACGCAGTTTTCAAGTTAACATGGGTAAGTTTAATACTTTGCTCTATTTTTATGCATTTTATACCACAACGCCCTTCACGGTTTAATTTAGGAAGATGAAAGTCTCTTTCTTTATGATTGCTGTGAGTTTTAAGCACTTTAGGGCATAGTTCTTTTCAATTTTACATGCACATTTCACACCTTGTAGGGTAAATTTTATTTGTGTATTTCCAATTTTTCATTTTATTTTCTGTAAATATTTCAATTTCAAATCATTGGTGTTTTCAATTTTTCTTGTTTCCCCTCTTCCATTTCGTTCTTAAACTATTATTGTCATTTTATATTTTAACCCCTTGAGTGCTTTGCTATTGTGTTTCACATTCTGGTGTCCCCTTTCCATGGTGTTTTTCAAAATTTTGTTGTTTGTGGGATTGAAGCTTTTCATAGTAAAGTGCAGAGTTTTAGTCTCTGTTACGTGCTTTGTGAATGAGGTTAGGCACTATGGGTGTACTGGGTAATTTCTCAATGTTCCATATTATTGCCTCTGTGAATTTTGCCCAAATTCTGTGATAAATTAGAATATTTTCATCAATGAATTACTTCTTCTGTTGCAACTTTCCAATATTTTAGAACCTTAGTTACATTCTCTGTTGAAGCTTTTTATTACACTTGGGGATAAAAGTAATTCATTGTTTCCTTAGTTGTTGTGTTCACTGCATGGCTGCAAAGCTCATTGAGTAACCCAAGTGTCATTTGAAACTTTTATGATGCTTCACCATGTTGCTTGTAACCCTTTCACTGCAGATTTTGTTTTTGGATATGTTGTGCAATAACAAGTTCATTATTCATTGTGTTCATAGGCAAGCTTCACTTTTGTGCGATTGTGTCTTTTTGCTGTGCACTTTCCCAGTGTGTAAATTGACTGAAATATTTTGTGCATTCTAAATTTTTAGGTGTCAATTACATTATTTGTTAAGCAAGAGTTGGGTACTGTGAATCGCAATATAATTGTCAATATTCTTGTATGCAATTGATTAGTCAGACTTGCATAGATTGGGTCTCTGTCAAGTGTCCATTTCATGATTATTATATTTTGAGAATGGGGCTAAGCACTATTGACTCAAACATGGGCCAAAATTTTTGTCTACACCTTGTTACTGCACTTGAAACGGAAGCAATTTATGAAATTCCCCTTTCTTGACTTGTACTTTGAATTTATTCTAAATTTTTGTTTGAGTGCAGTTCCCTCAATATTTCTCACTGTTATTAATTTTTGGTGTTGTGTTTTACCTTGCCTTGCGAATTTTACATTAGCTTATGCAGTACTATCAAATTTATTTATTTTTAGTCTTGAATGTTCAAAATTCTGGTTTGTACACAGTGAACATATGCATTCTTCATTCCTTTTACTGCACAAATTTTATTGATTAAATCTGAATATACTCTTTTGGTCTTCAAATTTGATTCATGCTTGTTGCATTCATTGAATGAATACTCACTAAACTTGGGAATATAAGCACCTCTGTTATTGATATGATAACTTCATATTGATATATTTTTCACAATATCAATGAAGGGTTTCATGAGCATTTTCACAATACCAGCATTAAACTTCAAAAAATAATTGAAAATAAGGGTTTCAAATTCAATGAAGGGGAAGCTGATGCTATCCAGCTCAATATTCAAGTAAGGAAATGAGAATTTTTCTGTGGCTTGATCGGCAAAGGGTTTCAAAACCTAGTGATGGAGTTCTATGCCAATGACAAAGTTGACCCTCAAGCTAGCAGTAAGCTTTCCCACTACCACACCATGATAAGGGGCACAAAAGTTTCATTTACCCTTGGAGTCATTAACAGGGTGCTACAGATTTCCCGTGCCACTGTTGAACCGACAAGGGATGATTATGGTAAACTTTTAGAACAAGCTCCAAATTATGAAGCAATCACCCGTACTCTTTGTAAGCTAGGATCTGAATGGAGACCCCTGGGAAGTGCTGAACCACGGAGTTTACTCGTCCCTGATTTACTGCCCATCCCAAGAGCATGGTTTCAATTCATTATAGGGTCTCTCACGCCTATCCTTCATGACACGACG